TGGTCCCGAAGCCTGGTGCGGGACAGTACACGAGCTGCAGAGTTCTGAATGACCTGCAGCTTGTGGAGGGAGGTGGCGGGAAGGCCGGCGAGGAGAGAGTTCCCATAGTCCAGCCTTGAGGTGACAAAGGCGTGAACCAGGGTTTCAGCAGCGTGAGGGGTGAGGTAGTGCCGTAGTCTGGCGATATTCCGGAGGTGATGGAAGGCGGTGCCAGTTGTGGTGCGGATGTGAGGGAGAAAGGACAGCTCAGGGTCGAACAAAACGCCGAGGTTCCTGACTGGCTTTGAGAGGTGGAGAGTGCAGCCTTGGATGCTGATGGTGTCAGCGCCTGAGGTGCGGAGGCGCTGACGTGAGCCAATCAGGAGGGCCTCGGTTTTTCGCACGTTGAGCTGAAGAAAGTTGTCTCTCGTCCAGGACTCGATGTCGGACAGGCAGGCTGTCAGGACATCGGTGGTCGTGGAGTTGAGAGTAGAGGAGGAAAGGTAGAGTTGGGTGTCATCCGCATACATGTGGAAGTTAACTCCATGTCTGCGGATGATGTCACCGAGGGGGAGCATATAGAGGGTGAAGAGGAGGGGACCGAGGACAGAGCCCTGAGGGACACCACATGAGACAGTACGGGGGGTGGAGGAGAAGCCATTCGTCGAGACAAAGTGAAGACGGTGAGAAAGGTACGACCTAAACCATTCAAGGACAGTGCCTTGAAGGTTGAGGTGGGAGGACAAGCGGTGGAGTAGGATAGCGTGGTCGACCGTATCGAATGCTGCCGATAGGTCGAGGAGGACGAGGAGACAGAGGGAGCCCTGGTCACAGATGGTCAGGATATCATTGGTGACCTTGACCAGGGCAGTTTCTGTGCTATGAGCAGCACGGAAACCTGACTGAAGGGGTTCGAAAAGAGAATGGGTGGAAAGGAAAGAGCGCAGTTGGGAGGCGACAACTCTTTCCAAGACCTTGGAGAGAAAGGGGAGGTTGGAGATGGGCCGGTAGCTTGATAGCTGCGACGCATCAAGGGAGGGTTTTTTCAGGGTGGGCGTGATGATGGCAGTTTTTAATGGAATGGGGACAGAGCCAGAGGAGAGGGACAGGTTTATGATGTCAGTGATATGTGGGGCAAGAAAGTGGAGCTGGGAGATAAGGAGTGGAGTGGGGATGGGGTCAAGGGAGCAGGTGGTTGGTTTTAGGGATAGGATGAGTTCAGTGACAGAGGGTGGGGAAACGGGTACGAAGGTGTGTAGGGGAGGATGGGTAGGAGTCGGAGTGTGGGAGGGAAGGGGTGGGTGGTGGGTGGAAGTTGGAGGGGAAGTGACCGCGGAGCGGATTCCCTTGATCTTGGATTCAAGGAAATCCAGCATCTCCTCGCAGTGAAGGTTGGAGGAGATGACCTGCGCGGGGTGGCGGGGGGACGGAGGAGTCGGGTTGTGGTGGAAAACAGTAGCCTGGGGTTGTTCTTCGCCTCCAGGATTATCCTGGAGTAGAAGGACGACTTGGCCGAGGCTAGAGTGGAGCGGTAAAATAGGAGATAGGAAGAAGTTGCATTTTATAGCACCCAGATTTAGAGAAATGCGAAAGAAGGAATCTCTGGGATATCGGAAGGGTAGGTTAGTTGGAATGACAGTAATTTTGTGTGTCAAGCTGCCATAGTTGATAGCACATTCTCGCCTCTGAGTCAGCATTTTGAACTTGTATAGTCCAAGCTAACACTTCATTATGTTCTGTGGATTGGGCTGCATTGTTGGTAGTGTCATTCTTTCAAATGAGGTGTTAAACCAAAGTCCTGTCAGCCTGTTTAGGGGAATGTAAAAGATCCCATGGCACTAAAAGAGAAGGGAGGTTCTACCAGGAACAGCCAACAATTTCCCAGTGTCCTGACCAACAGACTCCTTGATAAAGTTGGTCATTCACTTCACAGATGTTTGTGGATGTTCCTGAGTGCAAATTGGCTACTGTGTTTTCTGGAAAATGCAGATTTGCTGCGCGTTGCAGTGGATCCCATGAAGTGTTTTGAGACTGAAGAGAAATTGAATATTTCATGTGAATGTTCACCAAAAGACATAAAAAGTTGGACAATAGTTTCAAGTTGGTTCATTTTATCAAGTGGAATTCAACAAGTCACTCAGCTCCTGTTAACCCTGCAAGCCAAAGTCCTAATGGGTAGGGTGGTCCTAGCTGGGCAAGTGGCGGGAAAGCTTGCCAGACCGCAATATCAATGGCAAACTATGCAGTTTTAGCTGGTTAAACTCCAGCAGTACCCCGACACACACTCTGTGGTCTCCAAGCCTTGGCTCTTGCCAACCTGCGCCTAATACTTTCTGGAATTAGGTAAGCAGGAAGCGTCCCTCCAGGGAGAGAGAGAGAGTGCGCATTCCATTCCACCAATCTACCTCTGGGATTTCCGTGTGTAGGTGGGATGTATGGAAATCTCAGCTTGGTTTGAATACTCTTAGCCATGGTAATGGATTTCCACACGTGTCAGACACCCGTCTGACCCAAAAACAATTCAACAAGTGAATGAGCGGAATACTGATCAATATTGTGGAGTTGTAGGGTACAAGTCTGATTTTTTGGGTCCTTCGTATGTTTTCTGCTTAATTAATATTGTCGAATGATTTCACCTGCCATGTTTCTAGAAACCAACAATTGGAATAATTGGATACAGGGCAGGTGTGAATATTATAGGAAATATTGCCGAAGAGAAACTTCAGACAAATACGGTAATTTAAATGCTTCCTGTAGTTCTTTGTAAAAGATTTCAGGCCACATCTACAATAGGATTGAATGAGTTTCAATATGGATGACCTGTTATTAAGTTGAGGAATGTCAGCATGGGAAATTGAAGTCTTTGTGCCTGTTCTCAGCAGCTCAGGTGTACAACAACAACAACAAGATTTCATTTATAGAGCGCCTTGCTCTAGCTCAGACAACCACAGAATAAAGCTTTATTTTCTGTGCTGTAATGATATGACTTATTCAGTGAATCGTAAAAATAGCTATTTCTCTTTTGAATATTTCCTATATTAGCCAAACATATGGCCACACTGAGTTAGATTGCTGTATATGTTTTGTTGTGAGCTCTTGCCCTTGGGAGTACACAAATTTCTTTAATTTAGAGCTCTTACAATTACCAAAGAATTTTTTTTCAATCCATTGTAGTCAAATAAATTGGACAATGGGTAAATAGGTATAGGTTTGTGAATACAAAATGATTCAGCCCTAACTATTACTAAACGCTGTCATTTGCTTTGTCTTACGGGTTTTCTTATGAAACAGTGTTTCATGTTGTATCTAAATTTAATATATGCTGCAATGGCTCACCTTGTGTCTTGCGATCTTGTATTTAACACTTTTAAATATCCAAATGTTAGAACCAGATGTGAACCATAACTTATTTCACAACTGAGGCAACTTGTGAAAATGATTAGGAGTAAAATACCTTGTTCGAGTCACAGGAAGAATTTCCAACTTGTTTTATCCACCTCTTATATTGTAAAGTACTTTCAATGTTTACTACAGTGAACGGTTCTATGCGTTTACAACAACAAGAAGATTACATTTGTATAGTGCCTTTCACGTCGGGAGGACGTCCCAAGGCACCATTGCTTCAAGCACATTTTACAGAGAGTTATAAGCTAGTTAAGCACAGCTTCCATTGCTAAGCTGCTAAATAACTTAGGTTTTGCTATACAGTAGCTGGGTTTTGTTCCATTGGTGCATGGCTTAGCTAAGACCTACTGCGACTGTGGTGTGAACTTTGAGCAGTTTGAAATTTTATGGTATTCTCAGAAATAAACTGCACTGGAAGCCATCCAGGTAGTAATGTAAACCAAGCTTCACATGAAAGGGGGTGGGGGAGGAACGTTTCCAAGTACATCAAGGGAAATACTGTTCATTTTCAATCGGTTTTCTTCTTGTCCTTTCTGATGCACCAGCATAAATCCCTGGTGAGATCTGACTGCAGAAAGGAGTAATGTGAGATTGCTTTCTTGCCAGCTCAACACGAGTACACCATTGTTCCTGTGCATAGTGATAGCAGGGGCCTTTCACTACTCGGTGCAGAAGAAATATTCATCTTTAAGATTGGGTAGCATTTTGTACCGCTTCATGCATCTAATTTAACTGCAGCTCTTGAGCTGAGTAGAATATGGTTACTTTGAGGCCTCCGTTTTCTTTTAATTCTCAAAGGATTCACAGGTATACTGCACTTCCTCTTTTCTTAAAGCACTGGAGGATCTTGCCAGTATGTAATGAAAATTATGCCGCAGAACCCACGTGCAGATTCTCACATCCATTTCAATATTCAGTAGGTTTATCGGAGATACTGGTATCATTTATAGCAAGTGTAAAATTGATCCAAACCTTTTCTAGAAACCTTTAAGATGGGCGCATTCTACCTTTCTCCCCCTGTGGAGCAGTGACCGTCCTCAGTTTTGTATTGCCCCACATCAGCATTGTTGATCAGTATTTTGTCTATAGTGTGTGAGGGATTGCGTTGCAAGCCTGAATCAATCCTGCCACTCTTTGCTACTGGAGTCCCTTTGTACATTGTTTTTCTTATTGTTGTTGAAGCTTATGTTTATTGACCTTTTATCTTGGACTTTCAACCTCTGAAGATGAAAAAAACATGAGGGTGTAGATCCTTAATGAATTTGACTGGCGTAACATTTCCAAACTCAGTAAATAGTCACTTAGAAAATTGCATTTGGCTGGTGCTGGGAAACATCCACTTGTCACTGTAGTTATATACCTTGCTTTTTTGGAAGAAATCGAAACTGTGATGTCAGATACCCTGTTGTCAACTATAGCTTAATTATGGCTTCATGAAATGTCAAGTCTGTGTGTCTCTGGAATGTGATCTGGAAATGAATTAAGTCTGTTGGGTTGAATGAATAGTGACAGCCCCGCCTGTTGCAGCGGGTGTTGCGTTGTGAGAAGCTGATCAACCAAAGCATGGTTCTTTCATTTGAGACAAACTTGTTTTTAATGTTTCCCTTTTGTTACAGTGACCAAGTCTTCACAAGTTACCTGTGATTTTAAAATGGAGGTGGTATCCGCTGAAGTCAATAGCCTGCTTCCTGAGGAGATAATGGACACGACGCTTGTGGAAGATGACAGCATTGAGGTCGTGGCCGTTACGTCACAGCATGCGGAGCCGATTCCTATGGAAACTGAACGTGGAGAAATTGAAGACCCAGTCCAAATACAGAACTCCCAAGTTCCATCAAGTGTGACAGATCATGTCGCCATGTTGACAAATAACGCTACTCCGCTGATCTTAAGTGAACCCAATATAAAAATGGAAGTTAATACTGACATTGTATCAAAGACCACTGGGAAGGGTAGCCTCATGAGCAGCACCACTGCTGGGATGAATGTAACTTTAGCAGCTAATCAGATTCTTCTTAAACCAATAACTGAGCCCTCTGATCAAAAATTCAACCAGGCTATCAAATGTGAGGCAGCAGGACAACAGCTGGTAGTGACAACTCTTGGAAAATCCCGGCAGTCCATTGTACTTTCATTACCACCAAATCAAGCATCCCACCCACAGCAGGTCTTGTCTCAAACCCAGGTTGCAGACTTGAAACAAATTAAAGTAGTTACTCTCGGTGGAAGATCTGAGATAAAGTCTATAGTTGGAGCATCAAATGCATTGGGTTCAGTTCAGCCTGCACAAAGTCAGATGAAAACTGTACAGGTAAGAAATGTCTGCAATGAATTTCCTTTGTTTGTAATACCTCTGGTGCACAGTACAACAAGAACAACATTACACTTATATAGTGCCTTTCACGTAGGCTGACGTCTTGAAGCACTGTCAGTGGTGGGGTTGGACACCAAGGCTTACTTGAGAGTAAATAGCTCAGTGGTTAGAGCACTCGCCTCGCAAGCGAGAGGACCTGGGTTTGATTCCCAGCCCAGCGAAACGTTGGACAAGTTTTCTTACTCCGCAGTAAGTAGGAACCCGGTTGTTAGTCGATTGGTGGATCGCTTTTCTGTGGGTAATAATCCCTTCTAATAAATAAATAATAATAATTTGGTCATTCAATCCACGACTGTTTGTGGGACACTGTTGTGCCCAATTGGCTGCCACGTTTCGTCCACAAAATATATACAGTCAATTCACTTTACAGTATATTCTGTGAAGCGCTTTGAGACGTCTCGAAGACGTGATAAGGCGCTATATAAAATGCAAGGATTATTATTAAGGCACAATCAAAGAGGTAGGATTTCAGGTGGGCTTTAAAGATAGTTAAAGAGGGATTTTCAGAGACTAGGAGTGTAGTGGTTGAAGGCTTAGGTACCAATGGTGGTGCAAAATGGTCAAGAAATGCACAGCAGTCTTGTTTTAGCTAAGCAACAGGGGTAGGCAAATGAGTTAAAGGGTATGAGCAGGGCAGAGAGCTAGGGAAGTGGTTGGACATAAAGGGATTTCTATATGGGGGCGAGGGTTGATGTTCATCCATTTCGAAACGGATCCAGTGGAGCTCGCTAAAAAAATTGGTGATGGATTTGTGGAGTTTGGTGAAGGTAAGGATATGGGTAGCAGAATTTTGTAGGAGCTGGACTTTGCGCATGGTGGAGCTGGTAAATCAAGTTCAGTGCTTATTACAGTACAGGACAAGTGCTTGCCACTCCATCCGCTCAGCAAACATTGGCCTTCAAGTCCTCCTCCTGTTTTGCCCCACAGAGCTCTCAGCCATTCATTCTGCTCTATTCTCTGGAGCTCCACTCCAGAGTCCCTCAGCATTGCACCCTCCGTCACTGCCTTTAAAACCTGCCTTAAAACCATTTCTTCTGCGTTTTCACCATCTTCTTACTCCCTTCCCCCCTCCCCTCTGTCTTTTCACTAGCTTGGGCTCCCAGTCAGTTGTGTGAAGCACTTTGAGACATCGCAGAGTGACCGGAGTTATGTAAATTGTTACTACATATAAGAATGAACTTGTCCCCCCATATGTTCAAATTCCAGCATGAGTTACTGGATACTGGACGGGAGCAACAACATTGCATGTCTTTTCTTTTTTTCCCCACCCCCACTCCCGCAAGCCATGGAGACATTAAGGATGCTAACCCTTGTGCCTGCTGCTGTCCCAATTAAAATCAGCTATCTCAGTGGAGATTGAGAATAACCTGCCTTTGCAGCAACAGCAGGTGGTATGTTTTTCCATTGAACCGTTACAACGTTTTTTTTCTATTTCTCTCATTTCCCCTCCCCCTCAAATAATCATACCTGTATCAAACACTGAATGGTGACTAGACTACTTGAAGCAGTTATTAATCTTGATGGTTTGAGAGAAGAATTAATTGTTCACTGAGCTCTAATTAGTAGGAAATTATAATATTGGAAAATTTGCATTAGAATTGCTTAAAAAAAACATGGTTATTGCATTTTGAGAATTCTTGACTTATGATGGCCAAACATAAATCTTGATACCTGTACTCTTGGAACAGAGAGAAACTGCTGAGTGTTAATATATTCTACTTCCAGTTGTTACAGGAACAATTTGTGCTGCAGCTTTTCTAATCTTTTACATTATTTAGCATATTTTTAACTGCGGACTTATTATGTGCAAATTATATCTACTCATTGCCTTAACTCTGCCCCAGTAATACTATCTATGCTTCAGCAAATCTATCAGACAACTTATTTCCATTAGTTTTCCTTTAAATCTGTTGATTTTTACAGCAACAAAAAATTAAATGGAGTTTGGCAGGTTAGTGATTTGTATGCCAAAAATGTTTAAAACCATTTGTTTTTTTTTCTGCTGGATACTGATGTGGGTAAATTGTTTGTGACCATCTGGATGCATCCAATCTATAAAATTAAGAGAATTTAAGAGAGATAATGTTTTATAGATATTTTATGACTTCACTACTATAGCAACGTGTAGTGAAATAAAACTTGGGTTTGATTTGTTCCACTGCATATTGTAAATATCACATGAGTTGCAGTGCGGTACAAAGCAGTGACCCATCTCAAAGTAGATGTTGTCGCAGAGCAGTTTAATTTAAATAAATGGGATGGACTCCTTAGATTGGTTTATTAATCACTGCCTTGTAAAGCATGGTACTGTATTTGCTGCATACTTGTGAGCGTCATGCTCTCTTAGTGTAAGGAAGCTCCAGATAACAGCTTGGGCTGGACCAAAGCTCCTGCCATTTACTAAGCTAAATGGAGTCAGTCTGGAAGCGTGCTTGGCTCCTCATTGTAATGTGTGTCAAAGTGGCCAAGTAAATGAGCAGGCACGTCCTTGAGATGCGAAGCAAAATGTATTCAATTTTACTTGAAGTATTTCTCTTCCCACTCCCCAATTTTTCCTTTTTTGTTAGGATTTTTGGAAAGTGAATTTTTTTTTATTACCAGTACTGGCAATTTTTTTTTCACATTTATCAAATTCCCTTTTGTATTTGCTGTCTCAGTTTGGCTTCACAATCTCTCCGGCAGTCTGCTCCATATATTCACCACATTCTTTTTAAAGTAGTTCAATCTAACCTGCTGATGCACCTTCCCTCTTCTGATCCCCAGTCCTTGTAAAAGTTGTGGCTGAATTTCTAGAAAAATGTATGTCCATTTTTTTTCTCAACCAACTCCTGGAAATGATTACCTCTTTGTAATCTTAAGAATTCAGATGATGATATAAAAAATTACAGAAGTCATCTGAAATCTGAGATGAGTTTGCATTGATTTTTGCGTCAATTTTTTTTAATGTAATCTATGTGAATTTAGGGGAGGAAAGGGAAAGAGTTGACCTTTACATCTCCCAGAGATATCATGGCATATGCAGGCTGTGCAGAAGTGAAGCCCACACTGAAGGTTCAATCGCAAGTTTATTAATGGCTGAATGTTTCAATACTGGAAAATGTATAATGTGCATTTGTTTTCTGGAGTGTTCATGCTGTAATACTTTAATTCCACACTGTAAATGTGTTTCAGCAAACAGAAATTTTAGATATGCTCTGTTCAAATAAATAGTTACGAGAACTTTTAGCTTTTACCAGCATACATTGTATGTTGTAGCACACATGAGCAGTTTTGCTGCCCGTTTTTCTCTGTTTTTCACAGATCTGTGAAAGATGCTATGTTCAAGTAGAGGTCTCTCTGTACTGTGTGTCCTCTACTAGTTGTGTTCTTCAAGATTTAAAAAAGACGTAGAGTGACTAGTCATAATAAACATGGCATTTTTTGGTTGGGGTATGTATTTAGTTCTTAGAATTTTCCCATATAAGAGCTACTACTACAAATAATAATTGTTGCATTTGATAAATCTTTTTGTCATTGAAATATCTCAAAGCTTATAACCGGATTTACTGTAAAGTGTAGTTTCTGTCTATTTGTACTTAAATGTGGAAGCCAATTTTGCACGTAACATCAATTAAATTAATAATTAATTTAATTATTAAATAATTGTAAAAGTTGTTGCTGAATTTCTAGAAAAATGTATGTTCAATTTTTTGCAGAAACGATTGTTGGGATGGAGTAAGAATGGTTACACAGTACTGCGGTTTAACAATAGGGTTATGCTAATAATAATTAAATTAATAAATAATAATTATAATTATTATCAAAGGCAAAACCTTGGGCAAGTTTCCTTACTGCACACGCTTAATAATAATCCCTCCAAAAAAACAATAATAAATTGGTCATTTTCAGTCCATGACTGTTTGTGGGACACTGCTGTGTGCAATTGGCTGCCGCGTTACGACCATAAATATACAGTCAATTCACTTTACAGTCTATTCTGTGAAGCGCTTTGAGACATCGATAAGATGTGAAATGCAAGGATTATTATTAGCTCGCCATGAAGCAAATGATCAATTTTACTTGGGGTATTGCTGGCCTGGACACTGGGACAAACTCCCTTCACTTTTTGAATTGTGGCATGGGATCTTTAATGTACACTTGAACAGGTAGCCAAAATCTTGGTTTTGTGTCTCATTCGAAGGACAGCATCTCTGACAATTCAATGCTTCCCCAGCACTACATTGGAGTGCCAGCCAATACATGTGGACTATGAACTCATTAAAGTTCTGACTTGCGGCTTGAACCCACAATCTTCTGGCTTGAGAGGCAAAAGTGTTACCAAATATATGACTTGGAAGGTCACCTATTCTTTGAGTTGTTTAATTGCGGTGGTTTCTGCCAAAATTATTCTCGGCATTCCTGAGAGAGGGGGGAATTTGTGAACTTTGACTGAGCATAGTCACAACTATTGCTATCTAGTTCCTTCTTTAGGGTGTCCTCTTTGGTATGTTATGTGGAGGAGTCCACACCTGTAGAAATGTATATCAGCATGAATCATTGAGCTTGATGAAAGGGAGAAAGTGAGAGAAGAAAAAAGTGTTCTGTGCCCTGCCTTCAGATGCGACCGGAGAGCATCACATTAAATCTGATGTTTCGGTAATTATATCTGTTGTACTGAGCCTGTGATTCACTTCTCGTGGCAATGTATGTCTTTTGAAATCTTGTTCTCCTACAGAAACGATTGTTGGGATGGAGCAAGAATGGTTACACAGTACTGCGATTTAACAACAGGTTATGCTAAATGATGATCATTTAGAAATGAAATCTGGGAGAAATGCTGGTTAAACTTCAGCAGCAACCACTTGCATTTATATAATCACCTTCGCCCAGTTTCTTGTCTCAGAAAGCTTAACCCAATACACATTCTGTGGTCCCAAGCCTTGTTTTTGGAGATCTACACTTAATACCTCCATGGCCTCGCTCCCCCCTACCTCTGCGACCTCCTAACCCCCTACCAACTTGCCCGCTCCAACCTGCTTCACGTCCCCTGCGGTTCCTCGGCCTTGCCCCCCCCCCTCCCTTGTCTCCTTCAAGACCCATCTCAAGACCCTCCTTTCGACCGTGCTTTCGATTATCCTCCTTCCCCACCCTCCACCCTCCCTGATCCCAACCCCCAGCTCGGGTCCGAAACACTGTCCAACGCCTTGGGACATCCTCCAGATGTGAAAGGCGCTATACAAATGTAATTTTGTTGTTGTTGTTATTGTAATACTCCCGGGATTAGGCAAGCGATGCGAGTCCCTCCAGGGAGAGCATACATATTTCATTCCAGACCCAGGAATTTCCATGTGTAGGTAGTAAGGATCGAACTGTATCTGGATTGGATACTCTCAAGCACAGCAATGTTTCAGACACCCAACTGATCCAACCAAATCCAGATCCAACCATAGAGAGGGGTGTGGTACAAACAAGAAGTAAAATAAGGAAAGGTAGAAAGAGAAGTGGAAGCAAACAAAAGTCAGAGACTCATTCACAAGCCAAGGATGCTGAAGCTTGCTGTCAACTGAATCTACGCAAACATTATTTCCATGAGCGAATAGTGAACCTGAGGAGCAGGCTCCCCAGGGAAATGGTTGAACCAGGAAGTGTGTATTCTTTCAAACACTGATTAGATAGTTTTCTTTTAAGGAATAACATTATGGGATATCGTACAAAGGCAGTTTGGGACATGTGTGCATGCAACCGCCAGGAGGGTGGAAGGTGAACTAGATTGACCTTGGTCTTTTTTCAACTAGCATTTCTTGTATTCTTATCTTAACCGTTTTCTACTACAGACCTTCATTCCCATGTAAACCCTGTTGCCCAACCTGGGACAGGCATCTGTACTATTTTTATAATATTAGGACAGGACGATGAGGTCTGCAAATGGGAACAGCAGTGGAACTGGGAATGTCAGCTAAGACTGAACTTGAATGTCAAAGTAGAGCTAGGACATTACTACATTGAAGGGGTGGATATGAATCTAACCAGATTTGGGAATTTATTTGTTGTTCTGTATTTTTCAGATTGCTAAAAAATCCACACCTACGTCTGCTGCAGGACCAGTGATCACAAAATTCTTCTTTACCAAACCTGTGAACAACAAGAACATAATTGCAGGCCATTCTACCACAGCTCCATCATTGATTGCAGGTTCTTTATATGAAACCTTTTCAAATTGCGTTTGTGGCTGCATGTGGGTTGAAACATTTTGTTCACTTTTGGTGGTGTTGATTATTTTGCAGGTCGAGTCCTTGCCCAGAATGCAGCTATCATTTCAGAAGGGTCCAATCTTAGTTCTGCAGTTCAACAAACAGCAAAGATTGCCATCTCTCCCCTGAAGTCTCCAAACAAGGTTCATCTTTATGTTTGGGGCTTTAAAATTTGAAGTCTGGAAGTGAACAATTTGACTCAAATGCATTATTTGTTAATTGTGGCTGATTTCGTTTTTCCTGCATGACTATTTCTCTTGGAACCCACCCCACTTTTCCTTTCTCTCTTCTCCTCTCAAGACAAAGTAGACAAAGGAACATTGGGTACTGGGTTGTATTTGTTAGTAGACTTTCACCTAGAACCAAAGTTTGAATCTAGCCTGGATGAAAGTGTTTGTTCTTTACTGTCATGCTTTGTGTACAGTGCTGTGAGCGAAGTTGCTTTGCTTTCAAAAACAGCAATGTTCCCCACCTTTCATCATACTAGCCATCAGCTCATCAAGCCTGCTCCACCAGTTTTTTAGATGTTTTCAAATCTCTCAATGCCAATGCCCTACCCCTTATCTCTATTTGTCTTAAGTATTTGTCCCATCACATTTTAAACATTCATATAGATTCCATCTCTAGCATTTTCAGGACTAGAAATTGCACACCTGTGCACCTCTGTGTGAAGAAATGCTTACTGACTCTGACTCTTCGCTCTGACGTTAAGACTCTGCCCCCTTGTAATAGATCTCTCTACCAAACAGAAGAATCTTTGACTCTCTAGTTTTGTTCATTAATTTACTTCAATCCAATAACCCCTTAACATCTTCCGCTCTGGCTAATATAATTCCAGTCAACCAAACTCCTTGTGGACAAGAAGGGGCTCCTTGCAGCTGAACTGGCTCCAAGTTGACATGCCTGACAATAGAATGTCGGAGTTGAGTCCGCCCTCTGTAGTCCGGTTCCTGAGCCGGGTGGGTCTGCAGTATTCCAGGGCACTGCTGATGGCAGCACAGCCAGCCTGGCTCATCGGCAGGACCTGGAAGGGCAGACCAGTCACTTGAGGCAGGGAGTCATCTCATTCAGCTTCTGTTAACCCTGCAACTCAAAGCCCTAACGGTTAGGGTGGTCTTAGCTTGACAAGCAGCAAGGAAGCTTGCGGGCAGCAATATCAATGGCAAGATACGCGCTTTTACCTGGTTAGATTCCAGCAGTACCCCAACACACACTCTGGGGTCCCCAAGCCTTCGCTCTTGCCAACCTGTGCCTAATACCTTCTGAAATTAGGTAAGCAGGATGTGTTCTCTCCAGGGAGAGAGAGAGTGCACATTCCATTCCAACAATTTTTCCTGGGTTTATCTATGTGTGCATGGAAATCTCAGCTAGTTTTGGATATTCTTAAGGATGGTGATAGGTTTCTGCATGTGTCAGACACCTAGCTGACCAAAACAAAAGGGTTTATGAAAGGTAGATCATGTTCCACAAATCTAACAGGGAGGGGATAAGTAAAAGGGAATCAATGGGTGTCATTTACATGGATTTTCGGAAGACGTGTGATAAGGCCACATTAAAGATTAATAGCTAATATTAAGGTACATAATCAGATCTGTGCATATTTATGTAGATTATTTACTGCTGAGTGTAGTGACTGTATATTTGTAAGCAATCATAGCAGCCAATTGGTGGATAGCAATGTCCCAGGCGGTGAATAACCAATTTAACTGGAGGATTGTTGCTCAGCACACATGACAAAATTCCCCTCTCTTTTTGAATAGTCCATGAGTTCTTTAAAATCAATCTAAACAGGCAGTTTGGACCTTAGTTTAATGTTTTATCCAAAGGACAGTCCCTGGGGCCATGCAGCATTTCCTAGCACTGCATTGGAGTGTCAGCCTAGAAGTGAGCTCAAAGTCCCTGATACAGGACTTAAACCCACACCATCCATCTCTGAGGCTAGATTTCTACCAATTGAGGCGAGCTGAAGACCTAAATGAAAGGATGTGCTTTGATTTATTGTATGACTGATGTTCTAGGATTTTATTACTGTGCGAGTCCTGAACTTCAGAGTTGATAGAGAAATTGTAAGGGGCTGTATGTTTTGCACTGTAGAAATGGTCATTTTAGGATGAGGCTGATTCTGTTAGAATTCAACAGTATGGGGAATCTTGAGGGGCTGGTGGTTAATTACCATCTGCAATCCTCTGCTACAGTCCTGCTTAATAAAACCATAATACAACTTGATTTTTGTTAACAAAAACTGATAAAATAGCTTGGTACATAATATCAGGGGGGCTTCGTAGTATTTAATTTTTCCTTGCATCGATTTTCTCTCATCCCATCAACAAATATGTTGAAAATAGAAGTGGAGGATCACTGAAAAGTTAATAGTATGAAATTGGGTTCAAGCGTTTGTCAGAAACCACACCAAGGAAATTATTAAAACGTTTTATTAGCAATTATAAAACCACATGAGCATAAGCATCACATTACACCTGACCCATTATCATTACTCGTCGCGCTTAAATGATTACTAAAGCACTATCTTAACAAGATACATTACTAAAGCACTATCTTAACAAGATACCCTCAATACTAAAATTCTAAACATATAAAAAAAAATTATGTGATATATGAAATGTGCCTAAATAATCTCTAACTATTGTATGTATATTGGGTGCGTGTTTTAGTAAGTAGGAGAGATACTACCAAGCAGGCAGGAAGTCGTTACGAAGTTCTAAGGCTGGCACAAAAGTTAAACACTGTCTCTGGTGTGCTGCTGGATGTAAATGTCTCTGGCTTGCTTCTGGCTGCAAACGTCTCTTGGTGGTCCACTCCAGCAAGAGCTAAACTTGTCCTCTTTGCGGTCCACTCCGGCGAGAGCTGGACTTGTCCTCTTTCCCTCAAAGGCGCTCTTCTTCCTCTCCGTAGAGATTCGTCCCAATTCCTCTCCTCAGAGGCTCGAATAATTCTAAGTTTTGGTCACCGTTTTTTATACTCTTTTTCGCCCGCCATCTGTATTCTATCTCCTTTCTTCTCATTACTTCTTTCTCTAATTGTCAGTTCTAAAACCCTGCTCTTTGCCCCTGCATTCTTTTCCTATCTTCACGTTGTTTCCCTTGTACCAACAAGTGGTACATTCTGCAAAAGAGGAATACTCCTCCTATTCAATCTTATCTAGCCCGACCAGATTGCCTGACTCCATGTGTTGAAGTTTCAGTAATTCATTGTGCTCCTTTCTGACTTTCCATGTGACCTGCTGATCTCAAGCTTTTTCTCAGTTTTAATGGTTAATTTTGTATACCTGCCCACACAGTTGGCCTCCCATCCATTTTCCTGGTCCAATTATCCCAGGTTCCTATCTCTCCTTCCTGTAGGTCACATGCCCTTGTAAGCGCAGGTGGCCTGCCATCCATCCTCCAGATCCAGCTATCCTTATCTTCCCTGGCCATGGGTCGCATTCCAGTGTACTCCTGCCTAGCTCGGTGTCTCTTTTACTGGGACTGTGTGTGTGTGTATGTGTGTGTGTGTGATGCATGCCACATGGCAGTTTTTTTATTTCTTTAATTCTACTTAATTCATCTATTTACTACATGATCAATACTAGTGATTCTTATACTATAATTCCAACTGTTTACAATAGTAGCACAATTTCACAAGAAAAAGATCTCGGAGTACTTAAATATAATCCTTGCCTTTGATGTAGTGCCTTATTGTTTCATCAAGGTGTCTCAAGATTGCTTCACAGGATTTACTGTAAAGTGTAGTATAATTGTAGGTGAACATAGCAGCTGAGTTGTACACAGCAATGTCTGATAAACAGCCATGAAGTGAATGACAAATGTTATCTGGGAGACATCTCCACCCTACTATCTTCCCTCTCCCTCCACTCCGAACGCCTCCTCATCCTAGGCGACTTCAACCTTCACTTCAATTCCTTCTGCTCTACCTCTGCTGAACTTTCCTCCCTTATCTCCTCCCTCAACCTCTCCCTCCACATCCATTCAGCCACCCACATCCACGATCGCCCCCTGGTGATCACTCAGGGCCTCACCGTCTTGGACCTCACCATCATCAACAAAGCGATCTCAGACCATCACTTAATCTCCCTTAACTCCTCAATCGCTCTCTCCACCGCCACCCAACCCACCTCCATCTCCTACCGCCCCTGGAAAAAAATCTCCCACATCCACCCCATCCCTCTCGGCTGCCTTGGAGTCATCTGAATTCCTTCCCCTCTGGACTTCATCCCGCAATGACCTATCCTCCTCGGTCCCTCTTCTCCACAGATCTCTCTCCTCCACTCTCGATTCCCTTGCTCCCCTCTTTTCCCGAACCATCTCCCACTCCCACTCACCATGGTACACCAGCCACCTCCGCTCCCCTAAAGACAAGTGCGTGCCGCTGAGCACACCTGGCTTAAATCAAACTTAGCGGTCCATTGGCAGATCTGTCTGAACCATATCAAATCCTACTGCTCTGCCCTCGCCTCCGCTAAATCGTTGTTCTACTCCAAGACAATCTTGGAAGCTAAGGACAACCCCAGGCTCCTCTTCTCCATCACAAACCCGCTCCCCCGCCCCCCTCTCATGCCTGCCCATTCCTCAAATGCCAATTGCGAGACGATGCTGGACATCCTTGAAACCAAAGTCAAGGGAATCCGCTCAGCTACCTCTTCCACTGCATCTGCTACCCCCTACCCATCCCTTCCTCCACACTTTCGAACCTGTCTTCCCCTCCTCTCTCATCACCACTATAACCCACATGAAATCAACCACCTGCTCCCTCATCCTTATCCCTCTCCTGACCTCCCAGCTCCACCTCCTTGCCCCTCTACTCACTGACATCAAAAATATCTCCCTATCCTCTGGTACTGTTCCCACCCCATTTAAAAAAAAAACGCCATCATCACTCCTGTTCTTAAAAAAAACCATCCCTGGACCTATCTCTACTTCCAAACTACCGCCCCATCTCCATCCTCCCTTTCCTCTCCAAGGTCCTGAAACGAGTTGTTGCTTCTCACCGCTGAATCTCTTGTTCATGCCTTCATCACCTCCAGACTCGACTATACAAACACCCTGCTTGTCGGCCTTCCCAACTCCTCCCTCCACAGGATGCAGATAATTCAGAACTCTGCAGCCCGTGTCCTCTCCTGCACCAAACTCCGTGACCCCATCTCCCCCATTCTCGCCTGACTCCATTGGCTCTCTATCCTTCAGAGGATCCAGTTCAAGATCCTGATCCTCACCTACAAAGCCCAACATGGCCTCGCCCCACCCTACCTCTGCGACCTACTAACCCCCTACCAACCCGCCCACTCCCTCCACTCAGCCGGCTCTGGCCTGCTCCACGTCCCCCGACCCACCCGCTCCACCATTGGCGGGAGAGCCTTTAGCCACTCTGCCCCCAACCTCTGGAATTCCATTCCCCCAATCACTCCGCCTCGCCTCCTCCTTAGCTTCCTTCAAGTCCTGCCTCAAGACCCTCCTCTTTGACCATGCCATCGGTCACCTCCCCTCCCTTCTCCCCCCCCCCTCCCCCGACCCCAGCTTGGGTCTGAAATGCTGTACATTGTCCAGTGCCTTGGGACTTCCTCCCGACGTGAAAGGCGCTGTACAAATGTAATGTTATTGTTGTTGCTTCTCTGCTTCGCTCCTTCCTCTCTCGCAACTCCCTTCATGAACCCCTCCAGTCAGGTTTCCGTGTTGCCCACAGCACAGAAAGAGCCCTGGTCAAAGTGACAAATGACATTCTGTCCATTTGCGACCAGGGCTCCTTCTGCCTCCTCGTCCTCCTTGACCTCTTTGCTATCTTCGACACCGTCGACCACTTTATCCAGTTCCTAACTGGTTAAGATGGTACCTCTCACAACGCCTCCACTTTATCTCCACAAACGGCTTCTCCTTTAGCCCCCACACCATCTTGTGCGGCGTTCCTCAGGGTTCTGTCCTTGGTCCCCCTCCTCTTCAATATCTGTATGCTCCCTCTTGGTTACATCATCCGCAGACATGGGGTCAACTTCCACATGTATGGGGATGACACCCAACTTTGCCTCCACAGTTGAGTCCAGGACCACTGCTGTTCTGACAGAATGTCTGTCAGACATCAAGTCCTGGATGAGAGCTAACTTTCTTCAGTTGAAGTCAACAAGACCGAGGCTCTCCTGATTGGCTCTCGTCAGCGCCTCCTCACCTCAGGCGCCGACAGCATCACCATCCCTGGTTGCACACTCCACCTTACTAAGCCAGTCCGGAACCTTGGGGTCTTGTTTGACCCTCAACTAATCCTTTTTACCCCACATCAGCGCCATGACCCGCACTGCCTTCCCCCACCTCCGCAGCGTCGCCTGGCTCCGACACTGTCTCACACCATAGCCCACTGAAACCCTCATACATGCTTTCATTACATCGAGGCTCGACTATGCAAACTCGTTTCTTGTCGGCCTCCCCAACTCCTCCCTTCATAGGCTGCAGATCATCCAGAACTCTGCAGCCCACATCCTCTCCTGCACTCGGCTCTGTGATCATATCGGCTCCATCCTCGCCCGACTCCACTAGCTTCCCATTACACAGAGGATACAGTTCGAGATCCTGGTCGTCATTTTCAAAGCACTCCATGGTCTTGCTCCCGCCTACCTCTGTGACTTTCTAACCCCCTACCATCCTGCTCCGTCTCTCCGCTCAGCGGGTTCTGGTCTGCTTCACATCCCCCGCATCGCTCACCCCACTATTGGTGGGGCGGGCCTTTTGCTACTCTGCCCCCAACCTCTGGAACTCCATCCCGCAGTCCTTCCACCTCACCCCCTTCCTTGCCTCTGTCAAGAACCATCTCAAGACCCTCCTCTTCGACCATGCTTTCGATCTCCCTGCTTTCCCCCCCACTGCCCTCCAACCTCCCCGACCCCCAGCTCGGGTCCAAAACTCTCTGTCCAGCACCTTGGGATGTCCTCCCGATGTGAAAGGCGCTATACAGGTGTAATGTTGTTGTTGTATCTGTGCTGCAGCATGAAATTGAATTGGCAAATGTGGGATGAGTTTGTATTATTCCCAACAGAAAGTACAAAATCATTTAACTTGTTTATATTGGACCACAAAGCTATGTGTGTAGTCTACCTGTCTGACTCTATTCAGAGAAAAGCAACACTTGAGAAATTTGATGCAGTATTTTATATTGATGGGTTGGAGAAGTTCCTGCTAAAATATTGGTGAACATCTTTCACTTAAAGATTCAGAATGGAAGTAAAATATTGTATATGTTTTTGTCATCTGATATTAGCATTTAACATTGGTGTCTATGGCCTCCCAGACACCAAACTCCCCTCAGAAGTCACTGACTGTTCCACTCACCATGGCTTTGCGGCAGCAGCTTCTCACAGTACAGCAGGCAACAACAACGTCTCCAGCCAAAGCTGCCTCAAATCATGCCACAGTGCAGGTAAAGATACAGTATTAATAAACATTTCTATAACTGGCCCGAGCTACGCTCTGTGGAATTCTAAAACTGCATTATGGCATTGTTGAGTGCAGTATTGGCTTCAACTATTCTTCCTTTTAATTCATCTTAATCCATGGGTTTTACTTAGTTTAAAACCTTTGTGATCACTGGATTGCTCACAACGTAGGTTATGGCATCTTTAGATGTTTTCAATTATTTGATTCTGATGTTTTAAAATTGATCGAGCTAAACCATTTGAGATATTTGTTCTTTAGTATGAAATGTATTTTTGAATAAACTCCCTCAGCAGTTTTTGTAAATTTAAACTTGTTATTTTGAATCATCCTAGTGATTGGTACCTTGAATTGATCTTAATTTGAATCACTATCATGTCACAATCATAGGTCATTGGTTCACTGAAGTGATTTCTGTACATTCTTTGACTGAAATTGAGGCAGTGGAAGTGAAGTTTTTTTTCTCTAAGAGAAATTGAGAGCAATTTTAAGGGTGTATTGTATGGATTGCTTTGTAGACTTCTAGACTATACGTATAGCTTATCTGCCTGCACTTGAGAACCAAAAGAGTCCACAATACTGTGTAGAATGAAAATCAAGTTTGGATATAAATATTATTTTGCCTCTGGGTTCTTCATGTAAGTATAGCCCAGTAGAATGTGATAACAATCTACTCTCTTTGCTCCTGAGAGTCATAAGAGAAATTTATTTGGGGACTCTTCTAGTGAATATGAACCCATAGTATGAAAGTGTAGATACATTTCAGTGCAAGTGCCACTATTGTTCGTTGAGAAATTCTCAGGATAGTAGCAGATACTCTTCTAGAATTAGGGTTGAGCCATATTGTTTGGTCAATTATTCAGATATACAGCATGGTCTGGTTCCAGACATTGGGTTAAAACTTTTTTGCCATTCCCAGCACTAAATTCCTCACTTTGATGAGCATAAATATCAAAAGATTAATAATATTAAGAGATGTGGATCAGTAAGATTAATGACCTGAGAAATAACAGGTTTTTAACAAATTAATGTGGCTCATTCATAGAATGCATCAACAGTTCACAATGGAGGGAACAGTAGATCTCAGCTAACCAGAGAAACTTTCAGCTTCTCCTTTCAAGAAGTCGAATCCAATGGAATGGGAAGCCACAGCTACTACACAATTTTTTTTCAGGGAAAATGGTGAAAAGATTTAGGGTCAGGATTTTTCTGGGAGGAAATCCAATGTCACTGCCACCACCACCATGCACTCATATAGTGTCTATCTCAACGAATAGTGCAGCTTTTGTGCAGAATGAAAACCTCAAAGCACTTAATTACGGTAGGAAGGTCTGAATAGGGAGAGTTAAGGATGATGACGAAAAGCATGGTTGATCAGATGTTTTGGGGGAAGATTTTAAAGGCAGGCAGGGAAAAACTGAAGAGATTTTCGAAGAAAGTTCCAGAGGGCAGCTATTGCACCTCTGCTCTCTGGAACTTTCTTGCAAAACCTCTTCAGTTTTTCTCTGCCTGCCTTTAAAATCCTCCCTCCCCCAAAAAAATATCTTCAAGAAACTGGAATAGAGAGTGAACAAGTATTACAGTAGAACATAGTTGCAGCTGTTCAAGCGACAGATTTGTTACAACAGACTTCCAGTTTGAAATGTGTTCTAATCCCTTTGAACCTGGACTCATGAGGGGTGGGGGGAATATTTAGTTGGTAGAAACAAACATTTAAAAACTTTCCAGTGTGCATGCAATTAATTGAAAGTCTTGACTAACCGTGGTGTTGATCTTCATCCCACAGTATAGATATAGAATATTATCTATAGTAATCTATATTAAAACGACAATGTCTGTCTGCGCTTCAAGAAGGATCTCAATAACCGGTTGACGTAGAGACATGATTTATACCTCATTGGAAAGGTCTTGCATCTGGGAGTGACGTGGGCATATTTGTTTTCAGGTATCGTTCATGAGTTATTTTCAGTTTTGCGTTTTTCACTGCAGTTACACCTGGTGGTCGCTGAGTCAAAGTGGCGCTGTGGCATTGTGCGTCAGAGAGCACCTACATGTACACGCACCCACTGCATTTACACCTGGTGGCTGGGCCGGCTGACCATTGCACTGTGGCATCCTATGTCACAGAGCACGCACATAGCCAAGCGGCAGGAGCAAAATATAGAACACATACGAAGCTAAGTCACGGCAACAACAAAATTACATTTTTAAAGTGCCAAGATCTCCTCCCACAGGAGTCCTCCCAGTTGAGTATAGATAAAGATGAAATGTCTGTCTGTGTGTCAATCTACATTCCATATTGGATCCTTTGGTTGCAGGCGAAGCTGCAACGGGTACAGCTAGTATTATACATAATAGAATATTCTATTATTATATCATAGATTTATACAGCATAGGAGGCCATTCAGCCCATTGTGTCTGCCGACTCTTTGAAAAGACCTATCCAAATCAATCCCGCTCCCCCGCTCTCTTCCCATAGCCCTGCAATCTTCTCCCCAAATAATTATCTACTTCTCTCTTAAAAGTTATCGAATCGGCTTCCACCACCCTTTCAAGCAACGCATTCCAGATCCGAACAACTCACTGTGTGAAAAAAAATTCTCACCTCCCCTTTGTTTCTTTTTTCACAACTATTTTAAATTGGTGTCCTCGGGTTACCGACCCACCCACCAGTGGAAATAGTTTCTCCTTGCTCACCCTATCGAATTTCCTCATAATTTTGAAAATTTCTATTAAGTCTCCTTTTAACCTTTTCTGCTCCAAGGAGAATGATTCTAGCTTCTCTAGCCTCTCCTCATAACTGAAGCCCCTCATTCCTGGTACCATCCTGGTAAATTTCCTTTGCACCCTCTACAATGCTCTGACATCTTTCCTAAAGTGTGATGCCCAGAACTGAACACAGTACTGAGGCCTAACCAGTGTTTTATAAAGGTTTATCATATCTTCCTGATTTTTGTATTCTATGCCCCCATTTATAAAGCCTAGTATCCCATATGTTTTTTTTTAAACAGCTTTACCTACCTGTTCTGCCACTTTCAAAGATTTACTTATATGAACCCCCAGGTGTGTCTGTTCCTTCACTCGCTTTAAGATTCTACTATCTAACTTGTATTGTATTTTGGGAGGAAGAATGAGGAGACATATTGCTTCATATTTCTCCACATTAAACTTCATCTGCCACGTGTCTGCCCATTTTACCAGTCTGTCTATATCCTCTTGCAGCCTACTACTATCCACCTCAGTGTTTACTACTTTTCCTAACTTAGTATCATCTGCAAACTTGGAAATTGTACTCCCTATACCCAAATCCAGGTCATTTATATAGATCAAAAAGAGCAGTGGTCCCAATACCGACCCTTGGGGAACACCACTGCACACTTCCATCCAGTAAGAAAATCAACCATTCACCAGCACTCTCTGCTTTCCATCTCCCAGCCGGTTCTGTATCCATGCTGCCACTGTCCCTTTAATACCGTGGGCTTCTATTTTGCTTATATGTAATATATTATGTATAGAAACAGGTTTTAATCTTGCTTTGTATAAGGGAAACACAAAAATATTGCTTATGTGGACGTTTCTCAAATCAGGCATCTGTCCCTTAGCAGCCAAAAGGTTGGACTGTCCTGGTCTAGAGTAAGCGTAAGTCTTAAGACCTGGCAAGATCCAAGCACTAAATTCCTTAAATATCCCCATTAAAGGAAACGAGGGGAAACTTAGTTATGTTGACCTCAACTTTGTTGACCTTTCAAAATACTCAAACTTTCCCTCCCAAATTAACTTAGTAGTATCCATACCGATAGAGCGAAGCCTTAGGCAAATTTCTTTACCCCACACGCCTCTTTTTACCCACCAGTAAGTAGGAACCTGATTGTTAGTTGATTGGTGGATCGCTTTTCAGGGCTAATAATCCCTCAAAAAAGAATCATCACTCAATCCACAACTTTTTGAGGGACACTGCTGTGTGAAATTGGTTGCCTTGTTTCGCCCACAAAATATACAGTCACTACAGTTTACAATATATTCTGTGAAATGCTTTCAGACGTCTCAACAATGTGATAAGGCGCTGTATCAAATGCAAGTATTTTTATTATAACCTGAATAGTAACCCAAGTGTCACATGTTCCATTGTGTAAATAATGGCTATAGTTGTGAAACAAAGTGAAGTTTAACCTTAATTATGTTTTTGTGAATGCAAATTGAATACTCCAACCAAAAATGTTAGCTCTGCTGATTGTACATTGTATGTTTATTAAAAAATGAAATTTTTTGCAGTGATCTGTCTTTTTACATAACATCTTGAATTTGTTAAATTGTTGGCAACTAGTCCCCTTTTTAATAGTTCTTAGAGACTGCATTTTTGTAAGCTTGAGAACATTGTTTAATAAACGATCTTGAACTTTTGTTTTATTCTGAACCTGTCTCTGAACTCCCCGAGCAGACAATGAAGCCAGCTGTCCCGAATCTAGCTGTGGGAACAGTGAATGCGACCCAGTTCAAAACCATCATCCCTCTGGCAACATCACCCAATGTTCAACAGATTCAAGTAACGGGAAGCAAGTTTCATTACGTACGCCTAGTTACAGCAACAACAGCTAGCGCCTCCCCTCACATAGCCAGCTCCAGCATTAATACGCAGCCCATATCACAAGGTTTGTTCCAAGATTTTTTTTATATAAAGTTGCTTATGGGATGAGTTTTAAAATGTATATTACATTTTTTTCTGTTGGAGGTATTCATAACTTTAATGCTTCAAGGGTTGCAAGCAATACCTGTGAAAATTATAAGGGAATCATAAAGGATACTTTTTTGTGAGATTGATATAGTAAAGTGCTGATTTATCTGCATTAATTGGTCCCAGCTCCTTTGCAGATCAGCAAACAGTAAGATTAATTGGAGATTATGCAAAATGCAAATTAGCTTCAATGTTAGCTACAATAGTGTTCCACCTGAAGCACTACTGTAACTCTAATACCACATTTGCTCCTTGACTCTTGTCTGTTTATGGTTAATTACAGTAAATTACTGATCACTCTTCAATCCAAGGAAAAGGGGCTCGGACTAGTTATCCGGAGTGGCAAGTTAGGCAAATGTTTCAATGCATAAATAAATGCAGCTGGGATATTGACAGCATGATGACTTAAGTGGTAGTGACATGTTAAGCCAGGGTTGAGCTATTGGGAGTTTACAGTGTATGAAGAAATGCTATGTTAATGTAACATATCAGTTATAACATTTATGTTTTTGTAGGAATATAAGTGCAGAATAACACTTGTATGATAACACTTATATGATAATAACAGTGTATGATACTAATTTGTACAGATTTAGTTTGACAGAGTTCATAACTTCAAGAATGTTGCTTTGGAAATGTGAGCAATTCGAGGGCAATTTTTTCTAGACAACTCTTACCGGATTCTTTGAAGTGGTTAGATTGAGGGGTTGGAGCTGGTACTCTTTCTCAACCCAGGGATATCTTTCCCCTCAATTTGAGATATATGCAAGAGAGGAAAATATTGATCTAAAGACTTTGTAATTTTTTGATAAATTAAATCCTGATTCAAGTGGTATCACTGAGTACTGGAAGTGTTCCAACATAGTTACTCTGAACAGCGATTATTTCAATCCTGGGCTTTAATTTGGAAGATTTTGGGGTGTTGCCTGTTTGTGCACTCATGAAGGTGTGTAATGTCATTTGGGAAATGAGCACTTGCCTACCTTTGATATCAAGTGTCATCTTACACCAACAAATTACATTTGTATAATTATATTTCACTAGTTGGGAGGACATCCCAAATCATTGGAAGGTGAAGGATTTGCACCTGAGCTGGGGGTTGGAATCAGGAAGGATGAAGGGTCAGGGTACTTGCAAATTGGGCATAGAACAGATATCAAATGTGGTATAGAGTGAGGCTTGTTAGAAACTAGGGTTAGGCTGATAAATATTTGCTTGGCTCCTTTACAGCTGGTTGATAGAGAGGGGACTTTAATTCCATGTAATTTGGGCTGGATTCATGTTGCACTTTAATGTGATTTTTTTTCTTATTATTGAGTTACACCATTCACGTGGGTGGTGTGAAAGCTTGCAAAGTAAAAATAGTTTCTATATCTGCAAATATCATTTCCAGTCTTTCGAGTGACTTCATTTTCTGTTGTAATGCTTTTGTCCTCTTCTCCCCGCTCCCAAAACCAGCTAAATCAGTTGTGCTGAACACGCCAGTTCGTATGTCTGTCCCGATTGCACCAGCACAGAGCATAAAAAATGTGAGTAATAAATTAAATGCACAAGTGGTGCTTGTGTGAAATTGCCTGCCACCAACTATATAGTCAATTCACTTTACAGTATATTCTGTGAAGCACTTTGAGACGTCTTGAAGACGTGATAAGGCACTATATCAAATGCAAGGATTATTATTATTTACATGTCGTATTTGCACCTACCCAAATCACTGATTGATTGTTACAATTTTATTCTTTAACTGTGGTTGGTAGAATTCTTTTGCATGACAGAGGATTCCTCAGATTGCTTCTGTCCATTTAGTTAATTCAAAAACTGATTCTTAATATGATTCTTCTGTAACTTGTGTAAATAAATTCATCTGCTTTTGTGTGGGTGTTTCCTTGTATTTGATGATCTGTTTTTGCTTTGGGGAGAGAGGGATTTCAAGGCTTTGTTGGCTCCTTGTTAAGTGTGTGCTTCAATTGGCACAAATTGCTGATGTGGCCTGCCCCACAGGGAGAGATACTTCTTGGAATGATTCCACTTCATTTACTTGTGTACTTTCCAATAGTTGGCACAAGCAATATTGGTAGTAAGTTTAGAAAACAAATGTCTGCTCACTCTTAGTGTAGTAGATCAATGAAGTGGAGAAATGGGGGAACCTGGCCATTTTTTAAGGGCAAATAGTTTAGGAGATTGTTTTCTAGTTCAATCCTTGTACCAAATAGTTTTGGAAGCTTTTTAGCAATTTTTTTCTTTGGTCAGCCAGGTGTCTGGCACAAGAGTAAACCCATCATCTTGGCCAATAGAAAAGTGCGGATGTATTTGCCAAATTTTGCAGAGAAATGCAGATAATTTGATAAATTTTCAGGAAAATTGCAAAGGACTGATCAATGTTATTGAAAACGCATTTTGTGAAACAACCCAGATTAAAACTAGCAAACAGCGTGCAGAACCAGGGGTCTAGTACATTGTGTGTACAGGTTTGAGGCAGAGGGGGTGTTTGTAGCTGATTCCATGGAAAAAGTCCAGCCACGCTTTTCTGTTAGCCCAACCCATCACCAGGCTTAAGAGTATTCAAACCAAGCTGAGAATTCCATACATCCCACCTACACGTGGAAATCCCAGATTTCCCAGATTGTTGGAATGGAATGCGTACTCTTTCTCTCCCTGGAGGGACACATCCTGCTTAGCTAATTCCGGAACGTATTAGGCACAGATTGGCATGAGCCAAGGCATAGGGACGCCAGAATGTGCGTTGGGGTACTGCTGGTATCTGACCACATAGTTTGCCATTGATATTGCTGTCCGGCAAGCTTTCCCGCTGTTTGTCCAGCTAGGACCAGCCTATAATAATAATAATAATCCTTGCATTTGATATAGCGCTTTTCACGTCGGGAGGACGTCCCAAAGCGCTTACCCTGTTAGGGCTTCGGCTTGCAGGATTAATAGGAGCTGAGTGGGATGATTCCCTGCCCCAATAATTGGTCTGCCCTTCCAAGCCCTGCCGATGTGTCAGGCTGGCTGTGCTGTCATCGGCAGTGCCCTTCAATTCTGCAGACTTGCCTGGCTCAGGAACCGGATTACTTGAGATCGTCACAGAGCGCTGACTCGATTCCAACGTTCCGTTGCCAAGCATGTCACCTTGGAGCCGGTTCAGTGTGAGAAGACCCCACTTACCTCCCTTGTCCGCCCACTCCGCCAAAGAGGGTAGCAACCCATTTAAGGCTCAGTTGAAATCCTACATTGCTTCAACGGATCAAATTGAATTGATTGACAAAATATTAGAAAATACCGCTATTAAGAAGAAGTGAGTCATTCAAACTTGATAACCCTGAAAATAAATGATTCAAGCAGCATAGAGAAAATATTGTCGCGGTAACTTTCCTTTTTGCATGAGTGTAAGATATGTTAATGTATTTCATTTATATTATTATAACTACTATATTTCTGTGACTGGCTTTAGGTGGCTCCTAAATCCATCAGCAGCATTGCACAAATTACCCCCAACCAGCCTCAGCAGAGACTCATCATGCCTGCAACTGCATTGCCCCAGATTCAGCCCAACTTAACTAGCCTCCCACCAGGCACTGTTCTGACACCGGCCCCTGGAACCGGCAGCATGGGCTATGCAGTGGTTCCGGCTCAGTATGTGACACAGGCAAGTAATATGCAATCATTCGTTCCTTTTAGAATCATTAATTGCTGATGGTTATAAGCAGCCTGAATACAGGGGTCACTTTTATTTCTTAATGCTTCATTGGACTGAGCCAATACTGATTTACTGAAGCAATGCAGTACTTACCTGGACCAAACTCTGTACTCCCATCTCACCAGTTCTGGCCAGACTCCACTGGCTCCCCATCACCGAATGGATTGACTTCAAGATCGTGTTCAAATCGATTCACTCCCCTGGAACCTCCCTAACTTTCTGACCTCCTCACTCTTCAATCCACCACTTGGCACCTCTGCTCGACTGGCACCGGCCTCCTACTGGTCCATCACATCCTCCGCTCCACCATCGGAGGTTGTGCTTTCAACCACTACACCCCGAAACTGTGGAACACTCTCCCTCAATCCCTCCGCCTTACCCCTCCCCTTTTAGACCGTAAGCTTACAGTCGCCTCACCCCCACCGCCAGCTCGGAGTCAGGCTCTGCCACGGTTAAACGCTCTGAAACACTACATGCTGTGATGCCTTCTACATTCAATACTTCTGTGAACACTCACAGTCTAGACTCACGTGTTTGAAAATGGTAACTTGGGTGTGGTATTTGAGAACTGCAGTTTGATTTTTGGGACAAGGATATGGAATAGGGCCTTGCACCATTCACTCAACGCATCAACCTGCTATTGCAGAATCGGCTGATTGTGTGTGATTGTTTGTGGGTGTACAACAGTATTAAAAAGAATGAGAATGCCTTAAAAAAATTGAGAACTGCAGCTATTGAACAGTTGCTGATGCCTTCAGGCAAGCTTTCTGTGAACAAATCTAAGGATGTGACTTGACTTTAGTTTTTAAGATTCAAGTTAGGCTTTTGCCACTTTGACTAGGAAAGTTACCAGAATTAACTATAATTTTAATATTAACAATAACAGTGGTCACTGTTTACCATGATACTGCAATTTTAGTCCAGTAACTTTTTTTGTATGGAAATTCTATTGACTAGCTGGGTTCGCATTCCAATAATTTAAAGATAGTGTATTTCTTCTTCCTAAAACATTCACTGAGTTATTATTATGAATTGTTCTACTTGTATAGCAAGGAAATGTTCGTAAGATTGTCAATTGTGCAGCCATTGATAAACTGAGTAGAAGAACGATGGGAGGTGAAAAAATAACTTACTTTAATTTTTTTTTCATTAGTTGCAACAGGCATCGTACGTTTCAATATCTAGTAACAATGGTTTCACTGCAACAACCAACATTCAGACCCAGGCAAAGTTACCAGTCAATGGGTAAGTCACTTAAAATAAAGATTAGCAGTATGTGAAGATTGTGGCATCAAGACTGAGCTCTTAGTATTTTGTAAGTTTATTTAGTTTCAATGTAGTTTATCTCTATAATATATCGATCAGAGAGTTTCAATATAGTAAAATACCCAAATAATGTTTTCCTACAAACTGACTATATAAATCTTTAAACTTCTGAGAGCTGGACTTAGCATTTGTATCGAAGTGTACACATTTTCTGGTCACCCGTGAAGCGCTTGAGACGCCGTGGAGGGCGCTATATAAATCCAAGTTATTGTTGTATATAGGGACTTTGAACTTGTAGTGTAGGCTGATGTTTCATTACAATGCTGGGGGTGGGGAGGAGTGCTGCACTAAGGGAAGTGGTGTTGAGATGATAAACCAAGGTTTTGTCTGCCTGTTCAGGTGGAGGTTAAAGATTGCAGGGAATTATTTGAAAAGAGGGGTTTCTCTTATTGTCCTGGCCAACAATCTCCCTGATTAAATATAATTGGTTATTCACTTTGGTTGCTGCATTTGCCTACAAATCCATAGTTACTATATACTTTATAGTAACATTCCGTAAAGCTCTTTGAGACATTTTGACATAATGGGCTATATCAAATGCAATATTATTATTAATGTGGAGTACTGTAGCTTAGTTGCTTAGTCCTGTAGCTCAGTGTTGAGAGCATTCGCCTTGCAAACAAAAGGATCTGGGTTTGATTCCCGCCATGGTGAAATGTTGGGCAAGTTTCCTTACTCCACACTCCTCTGTTTACCTAGCAGTATGTAGGAACCCGGTTGTTAATCGATCAGCGGATCGCTTTTCCGGGGTAACAACAATCCTTTCAAAAAATAAATAAATAATAATTATAATTTGGTCGTTCAATCCACAATTGTTTTGTGGGACACTGCTGTGCGCAATTGGCTGCCGCATTTCACCCGCAAAACGTACGGTCAATTCCCTTTACTGTAGATTCTTTAAAGCGCTTTGAGACATTTAGAAGACGTGATAAGGTGCTATATCAAATGCAAGTATTATTATTTACTATTGTTAGTCTCTTTACTATTTATGACTCGTACCTCATAAATCCAGGTGGGTTTTACTTTGCAAAATATTAACCATTATTACTATTAACAGGTGAATATGTATTTTTTCCATGTCTTTTAAACAGAACATCAACATCAGAATCAGGATCCCGCCCGAGGAAACCTTGTAACTGTACGAAGTCTCAGTGTCTCAAACTGTAAGTAAAACTGTTTTTATATCCTGCTTTCTTCTGAATGAAATACAGTGTTAACTTTCTCTTTTTGTAAATTTCAGAATAAAACTTTTTAAAAAAATTAGGAAGCTGTTTGTGGTCCTCCTGATGGTTCAGTGGATTTATATCAGTGAGCAGCTGAGCCATACACAGTAGGAAAGTCTCAGGTTCAATTCAAGGGTCTCAGACTGTGGATTGAAAAATCATCCATGATTCCTGCTCACTATCGAGTAATTCCTGAACATGTGTTAAGACTGGATCTTGCTCAGCTAACCCTTAGACCTACAATTGTAATATCAGTGGGTTGTGCAAACTAGCATTAAGTCTCAGACAAATGTAATGTGCTAGTCTAGAATGTTTTTATGTACTGATCTAGAAAATGAATGTTGGCATCTGTGTAACTGTTGATCAACTTTTTAAAAAAAAATTCAAACAGTGTCTTGTAAATGCTTTTAAAGTTGTGTGGCTTTTTAACTCTCTCCTAATCGAAGTATTTCAAACATGAAATCTACGTAACTTATTTTTTCTTGTGTCGATATGTTTTTCTTGTATATTTGCTTTCTAATTTTATGCAATTTTTTATACACTAATCTTCATGCTATTTAACTAAAGCTTCAAACTTGTCTCTGCTCATTAGATACTGTGACTGTTTTGCTAATGGAGAGTTTTGCAATAACTGTAATTGCACCAACTGTTTCAACAACTTGGAACACGAGGCTGAGAGGCTCAAAGCAATAAAAGTGAGAAACTGTTTAAACATACACAATTACACAATAATAGTAATGTATTTTGCTATTGGAAACAATAGTTCAAAGCTTTCAGTGCATAGATTTGCGTTGTGTTTTTATGTTTTTCATAATTTTTATTAAGTTCTTGTTGAGTTTCATCTGGTTTAGAGTTGCTCAATTCAAAATAAAAAAAAGTCTGACATGGCTGTTTTTAAATTGAAACCAAACATTAACGAGATCTGTGCAAACAGTGTAGGGCACCTGACCTTATCAGTTTATACCAGTGCAGTGTTAATTGCTTTTGTTCAGAGTTTTATGTTCACTCATGATACATTACCAAAGGAAGGTGCTTGGAAACAGTGTAGATATATTGTGCTTTGGATTGAGAATTGTGAGTGAAAGAAATGACTCATTATTTTAATGCATCATTTTAATACTGTTTCTAAGATCTGAAATCTCTAAACCCTTATCGGTCTCCAGGCATGCCTCGATAGAAATCCAGAAGCATTTAAACCGAAGATTGGAAAAGGGAAGGAGGGTGAATCAGATCGACGGCATAGCAAGGGCTGCAATTGTAAAAGATCAGGGTGTCTGAAGAATTACTGTGAATGTTATGAGGTAAGAACAGTAGCTTAGATTCTCACTATGGAAGATTCACTGCTTCTTAACCCACTTTGATAGCTTGTGTTTAAAGAAAAATTTGGATATTCTTTGAACTAATTATGCAGGATTTCTGATATTTATCACATCAACCCATTTTCTTCTACCAAAAACAACTTTACAATGTCTAAATTGAAATCTTCCTGACCTTTCTGTTCATCCACTTTGAGTGGGAGAGTTGTTAATCAGCTGAGTTAGAAAATGGAATAAAATGAGAAAAATACTAGAATTGCAGATGAGAATCTGAATGCGCATCCTGAAAAAGACCAATTTTGGGTAAAAAGCTGCATTGGACTTAACTTGGGTAAAAGGAAAAGCTGGTTTTATAGGATAAAACAGGATACCAAGAACTGAACAAGAAAAGGAGCTTTAAGCTGAAGTTTAAAATATGAAATGGCACTATTCTGGTGCCCATTTCTCACGGCAAGGGGCTTCACAGTCCCTGACGTGATTAAATGGTACAGAACACCCCCTACTCCCAAAGAAATAGCCACACAATACGTTTCCACACCTTCATCCAACTGTCCTCAATTTTCTTCCAAACCACCAGAATTCTTCCCGCTGCCCCAGCATTCATAATGAGAGTTGGCCTCCAGAGCCTTCCATCCCCGTAGTCTCACTTCCCCCCCTTCCATTCCTCCCCAAAGTACCCTGCAGACTCTTTGTCACCCACTCATCATCTTGGGAGGAACTCGGCCAACACAATATCACCAAGGCTTAAGCTCCCAATGAGAAACTGGCCATTTTTGTTTTGCAAGCTAAAATGCATATTGGATTGATCCAAATCTGAAAAAGACCAGCCACTCACCGCTGATGTCACTTCCTGCTTCACTAATGCACAGCACAGTATGAAATTACGTTGACCCAATGAACCAAAAGTCAGTCATTATAGCCGTCCAGCACATAGGGAAATGACCAGTCCAGCTACACACACGCACAATGAACAGAGCCCACAGTGTAATGGGGTTTTGAATGAGTTTGTGTTGCAGTGAAGCAAGTTATTATAATGGGGCTGCACTGCAGTTCTTTCCATGCAGGTTGAACTTTGGTTAAATGAAATAGTAAATTTTTGTCACCTTTTTATTATTTCTAAAGGGAAAGTTAATCGGTTGGGCTGCATTTCCCATTTAGTTCCATACTTATTTGAAAGTATCCTAATTTGCTTGTGTGTAATTGTTAACCTTTTTTATTTGTATTTATTACAAATAAGCCCTATATTGAAAAGAATGCAGTAACCAAACACAAAAAGGGTCAAGTGCAATACAATGTGCATTTATATCGCTGCTTTCATGTCTGGAAATCCAAACTGGGAATTTTGCTGGGAATCCAAGCTGTTGGAGGAGGGCAGAATGGGAGCAAAGTAATTGGTTACTTTCAGATTGTGATATGTTGGAGAAGATGTAAGAGTTTGTACCTAAGGCAAACATCAGTGTAACGGTAAGAAATTCTAGGAAATCTCAATTTTTTAAAAAAAAAACTATTGCAATGGGAACGCACAAGCTAATGTTAGGAAGGATTTTAAGAAAATACAGGGAATCCTAATGATAATGCACCCAGCTTAGCGTGGATTCACTTATAGTGCAGGTGTATTTTTGATCCTCACTATGCCAGAAGTGCAGTGTATTTTTGGAGCTGACTGGCAGCTTACTTCATGCTATGCACAGGAAGTGCCACTAAAGTCTTCTTGTGCACAAAATGCTGATGATATTTTGCAAGGGAAGTTACGTCAGTGGCAAGTTGACAAGTGCTAATGAACTGCCGATTTTTAGCATATCATCTTACAATGGGGGTCTGAGTTTATCAACCACAGGTTATCACAGTATCACCCTGTCATCCTGTAATATGGCTCAAGCCATCAGAAATAAAAACAGAAAATTTTGGAAGTCCATGACCGAAATAATTGGCATTTGGAAGACAGACCCAATACAGATTGTTAACATAAACCTGTCCCTCTCCTCCAGACACTGACTCCCCTGCCACACACTCCCAGCACCTCAGTCCGCACTTTAGGCTTAAAATTTGTATATCACGCTGCTGTTGTTCTTGGTATACATTAATTACTTAGATTTGTAGACTTAGTGTAAAATGGTTACATTTTCAGTTATCACCAAGCTGGGGGGAGGGTGCTACAATGAATGACAAAATACCAGCAGAGCCAGGTGTCAACTAGTATGATGAAAGCAGAGGTATTGGGGGGAAGGGAGGGGAAATGAGACACTGAAGGGCTTTGTGGAAATCTACGCTGCTAGTTATAACAGTGAACATTATGTTCACTTGGCAGAATATTGTATAACCAGTAGTTTTTTGCTGCCCACTTAATTTTGTTTCATTCATTCTTGGAATTTTTTGAGTGAAACTAAATAGTTTGTGAAAAATAAATAAATTAAAGCCTACCTTTGCTTTAATGGGTAGAGAAATGAAGGCCTTCAAGGCTCTACAAAAATATAGGGTCACAAAGCAAGAGTTGGGGCCCGTTCCATTAAAAAAGTGGTGCTGAATTAAATAGGTTTATATTACTGAATGTAACCTCCAGGCTCGTGCCTAGCTAAGTGTTTATTCGGTTCCTGTTTCAAGAAATTTGTAAATGCTACAGAAACTTATTTTGCTGGAAGTTTGCTCTATATTCCACTTCTCTACGGGGAATACTATTCAAACCATTTAGGCTCATTAATGGAAACCTTGTTGTTCTTGGTATACATTAATTACTTGGATTTGTAGACTTGGTGTAATTAATTATAATAATCCTTGTATTTGTTATAGCTCCTTATGCAGTTGAGACATCTCAAAGCGCTTCACAGTCATATACTGTGAAGTGGATTCATTGTGTGTTTTGTGGCAGAAACGTGACGCCGAAATCGCAAGCTGCCGAAACCCTCATAAACACATTCATAACATTGAGGCTTGACTATGCAAACTCCCTGCTTGTCGGCCTCCCCAACTCCTCCCTCCAGAGGCTGCAGATCATCCAGAACTCTGCAGCCCGTGTCCTCTCCCGCACCAGGCTCCGCGACCCTATCACCCCCATCCTTGCCCGACTCCACTGGCTTCCCATCACACAGAGGATACAGTTCAAGAACTTGGTCCTCACCTTCAAAGCCCTCCGTGGCCTTGCTCCCCCTTACCTCTGCGACCTCCTAACCCCCTACCATCCTGCCTGCTCCCTCTGCTCAGTGGGCTGCGGCCTGCTTTGTGTTACCCGCCTCACAAGCTGCCAAAACCCTCATACACGCATTCATAACATCCAGGCTTGACTATGTAAATTCCTTGAAGTCCCTCCAGCTCGCCCCCTCCCTTGCCTCCTTCTAGACCCATCTCAAGACTCTCCTCTTCGACCATACTTTCGATCACCCTCCTTTCCCCCCCCGGCCCTCCATCCTACCAATCCCAACCCTCAGCTTGGGTCCAAAACACTGACTGCCTTGGGACATCTCCCAACGTGAAAGGCGATATACAAATGTATTGTTATTGAAACTGCAAAGAATTCTGTGGTGATTCACTTTATATCCCCTTATTGGATAAGGCCTTTCAATATACGGATTGGCTGGAAAGAGTGACGTATTTAATGGAAAACAATTGTTTTGTTTGTCAGATATTCTGCAAAATTAAAAACAGCATAAGTTGCCTAAATTTTAAACCAGATACTAACTTAAAAAGTGCATATTTCTACGTGAACTGGATTAAGGGCTGCTAGGGTAAAAGATCAATTGGAGACGTCTGGATATCTACTCAGTCACGAGGCTTTAACTTGGTGTTAACTGCAAAGCTGAAAAAGAGGTCATTTAATAACAAACTTCCGAGGCAAAAGATGCTCATCAGACATGAGGTGACCAGGTGGAGGTTTTGATCATCTTCTGAGGAACTTGTTGAGAAATTACAATGCACTGTACACAGGGAGACAATTCTGTACATCTTTTTAATAAACGAATGAATCTCTCTCTTCCTTGGTCCCGTAAAATTTACTTCAGTTGTTCAATGATCTTTACCAACTAAAAAATGGTGAGGACTGAGTGAAATGCACTGGATTGAGCTGTAACCTTTCTTCTCATTGTACTCCTATTCATTAGGCAAAGATCATGTGTTCCTCAATATGTAAATGTATTGGCTGCAAGAATTTTGAAGAGAGCCCCGAGCGTAAGACATTGATGCATTTGGCAGATGCCGCAGAAGTGCGAGTTCAACAACAGACGGCTGCAAAAACCAAGCTCTCCTCACAGATCTCGGACCTGCTCACCAGAACCATGCCAACAGCCACAAGTGGAGGAGGAAAGTAAGTGACTAGCGCCTCATGGTCTTTGGGATCTGGGTTATATTTCAGATTTCTATCTCCTAACATATCCAACTTAGCTCCTAGTGGGAAAGGCATTGCTCAGTGTGTTACTAAGTCATACAAACCAGAATGCTGCGGATTTGATTCTCAATCTGCACTGAGTTAGCTTATCTCAGGTTGGGAGCTACAGTTGTTCATAACATTACTGGGTATTGGAATGAAAAATCATCCAGTATTATTATTTAGTAACACCTGCTGGAAAGGTCATGTGTGTGGACCTTGTGTGCGAACCGAATCTGGCTCATCTTTTTGAATAGCCTCTTGGGAGTTGCTGTCTAGGCTCGAACATGAAAAAAATACTTGAGGGATGAGGTGCAGGCATCTGTAGGACCAAAAATGTCAGCATCGTCAGGCAAAAAGGGGCAAAAAAAAGTACAAATGATTTGAGGTTTGTTGATGCATAAATTGTGAATAATAATATTATTATGTGATTTAAAATATAGCTTTCCTAAGTGGCAGTTCTTCCGAGTGTGAGGTTGGACAATGAATGTCGATTTGACATGAGCAACACAGCTCAACCTGGACAGGCTAGAAGGACAGCCTACCATGGTCTGTTCCCGTCCTATACATCCCATCCCAGGTGCCTTTGAAATCCTTCCCAATGTGAAAGGCATTATATACATGTAAATATGGATTATTTCCATGTTCTGTCTTTACCTTGACATCCATATATCCATACTTTCCTTCAGTGGTCACTCGATGGTGATCAGCAGGAAGAGCTGCCTTTTTATTTTTGTCTCTCCACAATGCACTCCTGTGGTGAATTGTAGCTGCCTCAGCTAACTCAGGACAGAGGGTGTATTGTACCTTAGACATAAATTGACGTGCTCACCATGGCTTTACCAACTGAACACTTTAGTAACTTGTCCATTTTTGATCATATGGTTTCCTTTTTCAGGTTACCATTCACATTTGTAACGAAGGAAGTCACAGAAGCGACATGCGAGTGTCTCCTGGCAAAAGCCGAGGAAGCTGAGAAGACCAACAAGTCGAAAGCAGTCACTGAGCGCATGATTCTGGAGGAGTTTGGGCGGTGTTTAATGCGAATCATAAATTCAGCAGGAAAAGCGAAAGGAGACTCCTGTGCTCTGAGTTGCTAATCCGCGTGTACTACATCCGTGGAGCAGGCGGGCAGGAATGGGTGAAAGCTCTAAAACAATGCTTTTTTAAAGCCAAAACGTTTGGGGCTTGTCGAATATACAACTGTACAGCTATCTGAGACTTTCAATAAGTCAGATTATTCCTACTTCTTGGCAGACTCTCTGTACGTTGTCTAATTGAGGTGCCTTTTTTTAAAAGACTTGAGATACAAGAGTTGGTATACAGAATAAAATTATTGTGTGAATATGCAAATCCCTCATGAAAGATACACTCTGTGTTGATGCTGGTGGTGACATTTTTATTTCTGTTAATTTTTATGCCCCTCTATGAACGGCTGTTTTCCTTTACTTCCCTCAAGGGTTCCTGCAGCGGCAAGGGAATGTGAGGCATCAACCCTTCCTCCCCTCCCCCACCCTCTGCTGCCAAATTATAGTCCTTCACCTTTACTTGTTAATAGGAGCACCAGGACAAGAATTCAGTTATTCCCATGGCAATTGCATTTAAAAATCCATTGGGGAGTAGGGAAGGAAAATGTTCTGGTTGAAAAGGTATCCATGGTGAATGTGTACACATTTATTTTCTAAATGAAAGCATAACCCATTTGTTTATTTGGAAAGCACTATCGATGGTTAACCGAACTGCTTCATCTTGCATTGGACATTTTTTTTTGCCTGTGTTCAGTGACTGTCCATAGCAGTGTGCTTATCATACTTGCAATCAATTGGAAGATTCACTTAATGTCTGGAATTGAAGAACTCTACATACAGTAGATACTCTGGGGAACAGATTATCAATGCTCCTTATCTTACAACTCTGAAAACCCCCGATGAGGCCAGGACTAAGCAAATGTTGCATCAAGTCCGCAATTTAATACAGCAGGGTGACACAGCATGTTTGTACGCAGACTGGTGAACAAAGTAGTGGAAATTTTGTGCACAGTTACAGCCATGTTGCTGTAGGGCATTGGTGGCCAACCCGTGGCCCGCCGAATATTTGCACTTGTCCAGGTGAGTCTGTTTTAAGTCAATGTTTTGTTTCCAGTTTCTTGCTGATGGAATGTTTCTTGATTTATGCCTGAATGGAGAAATATTCAAATCAAGAAAATTCATTTTGTTGGCTGACCACTGCTTTAGGGAATGGAGGCAGTTTCCTGCAAAGGAGGAAAATTCAAGTAATCTTCTCTGGGTTGCTCTTGCACGCACCCTGGTGGCTAGTTTAAACCATCACTGGTAGAGGCTATGGATCCTTTGCTGTGAGAACAGTTCAGGAAAGATGAAAACATATTGGAATAAGGTATCTTGTTTTTTTAAATAAAAATAAATTTGCTAAGCTTATCTGGGATGGTGGTGAGCAAGATAACCTGAATGTTTTCAAGTATAAGATATCGACTTGCAAGTACTTTTTTTTTTGTTAAGCTTTCTTCCTGTCCCTTCAAAAACTGATAGCCATTTCAAGGATTGGAAATCTGCGACCTAAACTGAGAATTTCTGTGCTCATAAAATCTTGGTTGTCTCCATGTACTGTGACAGTGTAAAGTATGAGACAGCAGAATCCCACCATTAGTCTTAAACGTAAAGCAACTAAATACAGTAGAGATTAAGTAGTACAGTTATTGTCTAATTTGGCATAACCAGTAAAATTACACAATATCATGCAGGGGGAGGGAAAATCTGTCCAGAATATTGTCACATGAGTAAACGTGCCGTTGCAGAAACCTGTATTAATTTTATGTTGCCTGGTTTTATGGACCTTGATGACCTGACCTTCAAATTAACCTGTAGCCGTAAGAGAAGACAAATTGCTGCCACCAGTGGTTCTATCATTACTGTGTTCTTTACAACTTTTATTTGTCACAAATGTTTTTGTTCTTTATTGCTATTTTCATATAACTTAAGAAAAAGCCTGCTAAGATACTGAAAGACAAAGATGTTTTTAAAATGTATTTTTACAGAATGCTAGTACAGGGTATTTGTTAGATAATAATTAAAACCCATACCTGCCTTAGGTCATTTATACTGAGCAAGTGATAGTGTATAAAATGTACATTTGCAGCTAACTGACCCTCAAGCTTGTACTTTATCAGGTAACAAGCTGGGATGTGCATTGTCTTTCTGTACCATGCTTGTAATCAAAATGCTTTACTAATTTGTATATATTCCGTGTTTTCGTCTTCTTGCACCTGTATGATGTGTATTTAAATATTGTGTACAAAAAAGATTTTGGTTATCAAAGGAATTTGGACTATGTGTAGATTGTGAAAATGGTGTGAAAATTGATGTGACTATTTTCTTGGCATTGATTTTGCAGTTTTAATACCTTTTTTCAGTGAGTTTTCCACCATTCTGAGTGCGTGGGGACTGTACTTCCACATTATTGGATGTGTGTGTATTTTTTTTGTCTCACACTCGTCACATACAATGCAAGGTTATTTATCAGGACTACCCCCCCCGCCCGCCCGCCCCCCTCCACATCTAGTATTAAATTTAATCGCAGGCAGTTGCTTACCCAAGAAGGATGACAATAACAATGGATGTTAAATACACTTGCTTAATTTAATTTTAGATAATGAAAAATGGGAGTGTTGCAGAACATAAATTTTCATTTAGTAATATTTCAGTTACAAGTGATTGTTAATATTGTTTTTAATATATATATATCCTGGGACAGCATAGCTTTTAACATGTCAGGCAGATGTCTGAACAATCAGTACCTGAGCTGATATTCCAAATTAAACTCATCAGAAACCAGCCACTAGATTTGGGGATTTCAAATACAAAGTTGTATGATACCTACTTTGAGGTTGAAGCACATATTATGTAGCATAGATAAGTACACATTATGTGGCATGGAAAATGTGTAAGGAAAGTTATGACGTTCATAAATTGAAAGTCAATTGTAATGAATTCCCCTACTTTCAATAAGAATTTCTTGGGAGAATTTTTCTCCACTAAAGAATTGTGGGGTGTGGAATGCCCTGTCAAGCGAGGTAGTAGACAGAGTCCTTTGTGGGTTTCAAGCAGGAATCAGACAAGAATATGAAAAATCGAGGCTTGAGGGTATAAGGGGATAATGTGGGACAGTGAGATTGAATGAACACCTTTCTCTGTGAGCTTTCTATGATTGTAGGATTTTATTCGATTAGTTGAAAACAGCAGAGAAAGCTGTACAGATTCCCTATGCTATTATTCCAGCAGCTACAGAAAGTGCCTACTTATAAAGAGCAAAGCTAAAAAGTATTCTGTTCCAACCCCTGTTTTATATTAAAAAAAACGTCATCACTCCTAAAGTCAGCAAATAGTGTTTAAACAAGATGTACCATGAATCCCATTTGGCATTAGCTGGCCCTTCACAGAAGCTCAGTCTTTTTTATATGGTTTTTAATATGATTTTAGTAACTCAGATTAGTAAAGTTTGAGAGATTTTCAGAATACTTTTTTTTTAAAAATGCCCTGTGTAGGTAATCCCAGGTTACCTTTTACAAATTCCTAAAAAAATTGCCAGCATTTTGTAAAAGCCTGGGAAAATGGCACGGTTGTTAGTGGATAACCCAAATGTAGGGAATAATTTCATACCTTTAAATTTGAAAATTGGTTACATCTTGGGGCGTTTGTTTTCAGTTACCTTTTGTGCTCCTTTCTTCCCCTGACTTAATCTTTACATACCATTTGGTAAATGAGAGAGCAAGCAGCATGTGACTCTGGGTTGTAACTTGCAACTTACTATTCAATTCAGCAGCAAGAAAATACTTATCTGTTGGGGTTTCATGTGTTATAGGAAGTTTGTGAAGTCATGTTATTGTGAATCTGTGTACTAATTCTCAGAGCCACACTGCATTGACCCATCAATACATCTTGTAGAGACAACTATTACAGGCACATGATGTAGTCCCACATTGTGTTGGTGCTCGATTGAATACAGGTTCATAGAATTACATAATATTATACATAGAACCTTACAGCACACAAATTCGACATTCAGCCCAACTAGTCCATGCTGTTGTATTCCACATGAACTGCCACCCCTCCTAATCCCCTCTCCCATACCCCTTGATTTTGTTTTGCTTATGGATGCATCAGATATTCTCTTAATTCAGTCATTGCCATAGCGGGTATATCAAACTGAGTCATCCTCTGGATGCTCTTACATCACTCCCACTGTCTGTTACAGTGCGACTCTGGGAGCAGGTTAGCCATTAATGGTGCATAGCCCATGGAATCCTTAGGCAAAAGTTTCTTCCCCAGAAAAAGTATATTAAATCGGCTGTAGAAGTGCCAAACAGTCCTCAACATCAGCTTCCTGTGATGCATTGCATTTAATAATACTCAAATAATCTTTCCCCACACCCCAGAATAATAAACCCATGATCCTTACCCTGTTGAATAGGCGTCTTTCAAATGTCGGTTCCTAAATTTTAGCCCAATTACAGATCGTGTTCAGATATTTTTTAGTTTTTTTAATTGACCTACAATTTTTGATAATTGCGTGTGATAAGAGTGAACGAGCAGTCTTACAAAATTGGTAAAATCATGGTGGTACCCTAATTGAACATGTATATCCTTTTCAAACAAATCTTTAAAAAAGACCTTGCTGATAAATAGAGAAGTTTTACTACACATCTACAGGATGTAGATGTGTAGAACATTTTCGTATTGGACTTTTTAAATGTATACTTATGGTGTGTTCTGAGCAAAAGAAAATTGGATAAACTGACCATTTTTTTTAAAGAAGGATGTGCTCTTTTAGACTTTGTACATTGTAGTTGCTCTTATTACACATTTGTGTGTTGCAATCCACTATTTCTTTGCCTTTTTGACATGACGAGGGGGTGTGATTGGGAGTCCTGTTCACTGGTTAGAGTGCTAATAACTGGTTTCATATTCAGATTGTCTCACTACTGTGTTTTTGCTAATTTTCCCCATACCCAAAAGTGTCTATTTGTATATATATAATATATAAAAATATCTAATACTTTTATTTTGTAAATCTCCTGTTTTTAATGGTTAGCACTTTTATTTTATATTGAGGAGTATATTGAAAGTGGTGTATGTACCAAATGTTCAGGCTTCTACACTGCTTGTTGATCTTAGAGGGAATCATTTTACATTTGTACAGCACTTATTTCTATTGAAAATAAAGCAACTTTAAGTACAATAGCACAGGGTTTCTAATTCTGTATTCCATCCCCACATACTTATTTTGTAATGTGTATAAATAGCCTGATTACCTTTAACTATCCATTAACACAGTACCGGCCAAACTACGGCCCATGAGACAGTTCTGGCCCGTGGGAATAAATCAAGAAATATTCAATAAAGAAACTTGGCCACCACTGCAGCACTAAAAGGTTTCTGTAAAATCGCTTCCCTTTTGTCTGCCAAAGATTATTGTCCCTCCCCTTTTCCCCCACCCAAGTGTTTTTTTAAGAAATTGGGAGATACATTGATTTGATAGAAACTTGTTACTTAATTTTAACTTGTATGTTTTTGGAGCTCATCTCAATATATTATCTGTATGCTATTCATAGGGGTGCAGCTAAAAAACTTCCTTGATAAGCATAAAACTATTTTAAATTCTTATGACTAAAACGGAATACAAGTGTGTGTTAATGGTGCTCAACACTGGTACAAATGTTATCCATTAGACTAGCACTTAATTCCCCCCCATACACACAAACACTTTACATTTTATTTCTGGTATTTAATTCTTGCAATTGTATTTTATTTTCTGTCTACTTATCAAGGCAAGATGATTTCCTAAGTAATCTCATTAATCTGTGCCAATTTTTATACACTGAATAGCTAAATTTATAATAAATTGTATCATTGGTCACTTGTCTTTACTGTTTGTTGCCTTAATTTTAACAGTGATCATTTAAGAGGGTATTTTCTTTTGATTATAATTTCACCATTAAACCTAGTGTGTTCTATTATTTTATTGTAGAAGTTTGTGAGCTGTAAATCACAGTAATTTACATCTTGGTGAATCGTGAAACAAACCTTGAAGGTATAATTAAGAAAGAATCCTCCCTCATGTTGCAAATAGATTCATGTTTTCAAGCTAGGTATTTTCACTATGAAACACAGCTTTTTAAAGAAAAACACAAATGCTTTATGGAAGGTATCAATCTACTACCAACAACAACAACTTGCATTTATATAGTGTCCTTCACGCCAAACAGAGTCTCAGAGCGCTTCTGGGATGGATTGGTAGATAAGTGTATGCTGGTGTGGTTCTGAGTCGTGCAGATAACAATTGCTTCATTTTGATCCTTTCTCCACTGAGTTAGACAATCTCAGCGGTGGGCCAGCTTTCATATATCAAGCTAAGAATGAGAAAAATTGGCCAGGGTTCTTTTTTCTTTAATTACTATTAAAGTGTGCGGGTGGCAGATGTGGACAGGGGCACAGGGATGATGTGCTTCCAACAATACTTAGAATTCATTGGGAAACCATTGCAGTAGACAGTATAAATTGGCTCAGGGGGCAACTACTGTATTTCTGGAGAGATAGGACTGCAAAGAAATGAGAAATTAAATTTGTGGCATTAAGTTGAAAAGACAATTTCTAAGTTTGTAGTTGACACAAAAATAGGCAGTAGCTAACTAACATGGGACTAAGTTCAGCGGAACAAACAAAGATTAAGTGATCAGGCAGAGAATTGGCAGATGAAAATTATTGCAGACAACTGTATGGTTATATATTTTGGGAGGATGAATAAGGAAAGCGAATATATGTTGGGTGAAAAAATGTTAAAAGGAGTGGAGGAGCAGAGGCTTCCAGGAGTTAACATACAGAAATTCTACAAGGTGTAAAGGCAGGTGGACAATATGTACAGAATATATTGTAAAGTGGATTGACTTGAGTATTTTATGGGTGAAATGCGGCACCCAATTGCTCACAAACAGCCATGGAGTGAGTGACCATTTTTTTTTTAAATTTGGGAGATTGTTGGCCAGGACACAAGGAGAAATTTTTCTTTTCGAATAGTGCCAGGGATTATTTTTGTAGAGGGATTATTACACAAGTAAATTCCAGGGGTATAGGGTTAGAGCAGCGCAGAAAGCCATTCAGCCCATGTTTGTGCTGGCTCTTTTAAGAGCAATCCTTAAAAGCGCTTCTGGGATGGATTGGTAGATAAGTGTATGCTGGTGTGGTTCTGCGTTGTAAATTTCTATGGGACGTTTTTATTTGGCTTAATAGCCCTTCATTGAATTTGTATGTGCAGACTCAATTATTAAGATTGGGGACTTGGCTGAAGTACCAGATAGCCACAGTCATTCTTTTATCCTTCAGCCAGAGTTCCTGCCTCTGATAATGATGGTGTCTTCTTGTTGGAAAGAAGTATTGGGTGCGGACAGGATTATCTCATCTATGATGCCTTGAGCAGCAGTGTGTCTAAGGAAGGAAAAAGCCACTAAATCTGACCAAGAGATTGTTATTAAGAGATTGTATATCAGCCTGGTTCAGTTGGTAGCACTCTAGGCAGAAGGTATACATTCAAGCCCCACGTCAGGACTTGGAACTTGTGGTCTAGGCTAACCCTCCAATGCAGTGCTGGGATATGCTGGTGTTGGAGATCCCATCCTTCAGATGAAATGTTAAATCGAGGCTCCATCTGCCTTCTCTTGCCCATGACACTATTCAAAAAGAGAAGGCAGTTTCTTCCGGTGTACTAACTGACAAGTCCCCAAATAAAATTAGTTATTCACCTTGTTGATGTTTGTGAGACATTGTTTTGCCAAATTGGCTATTGTGTTTGTCCACAAAACACAGTCACTGCATTTAACAGTATATCCTGCGAAGACTTTGGGTTGTCCTGATGTGAAAGATGCTATACCAAATGTGAGGGTGATTATTATGTTCGATATGGAGAAATAACAAACGGTCGGTCATTGAACCCACCAGGATTTTCAATTTTCTCCTTGCCTTCAATGTCTGTACCTCATAGTCATGAGGGACATGAATACTACCCAACACTAATAGAAACTAGGCTTGCATGACTCTGCCTGAGATCAAACCTGGGATCTAACAATAACCTGTCCTTGGACTCGCACATTAGATCACAAGAAAGGTTCAGGTGAAGGCGGTCGTTTAGTCCATTTGATCCCATCCCTCCAGGATACTAACCCCACAATCTTCCTATGAGCAGATGATGGGGCCTTCGTTTTCAGCTGTTGCAGTTTTTCTGAGGTTTGGAGCATTGAGAATCAAAGGGGAGATTACACATTAATGGGCACAGCTTGTAGCCCCACAGCAACAGCTAACCAGTTTGCAGTTGCATCCTCTATGCTAGTAATCGTGAAGGAAATGTATCTCGAAGATACCCTCTCTGAGTGACTTTGTAAGATCAGAGGTTTGTCTTTGTGTTAGGATAATAGGTTGGTAATGGAACGCTGCCCTTCTCTTAATCTACAATGGACAGCACCAACTATGAATACATTGGGTGACTATCATAGAGTACACATGTGGATAGAGAACAATGTCAATTGCATTTCTTTGCTATTCGCTACAATATTGTAATTTTATGGTTGTTTTCCTTATTTGACTGTTTAATTATGATTTTGAACAACACAACTTACATTTATATTGTTGCTTTCACATAGGAGGACATTCCAATCTCTCAATCCCTCCTCCTTGCCCCTCTTTGCCCATCATTAGCTCTTGCCTGAAGACTTTCTTCTTAAACCATGCCTACAGTTACCTCCCTTCTCTGTCCAGCACAGCGGTCAACTATGCCATTGTCAAGGGGCCTCAGATACTACTCTGAGTCAAACACACTTTATAAATGCACATTGTTCCTGCTGAATGTGTACTCTCGCCCTGAAGGGATATACCTGCTTATCTAATTCCGGAGTTTCAGGTACAGATTGTCAAAAGCCAAGACTTGTGGACCGAATGTAAGTTGGGATATTAACCAGCTAAAACCGCACAGCTTGCCATTGAAAGCATTGCCTGGTAAGCTTTACCGCTGCTTGTCCAGCTAGGCCCATTCTATCTGTTAGACTTTGGCTTGCAGATTTAATAGAAGCTGTGTGGGAAGAAACCCTGCCCCTCCAAGTCCAACTAATGAGCCAGGCTGCCATCAGCCCTGCTCTGGACTACTGTGGACCTGCCTGGCTCAGGAACCAGACTACCGAGAGTACCACAGAGTATTGACTTGATTCTAATATTCCGTTGCCAAACAGGTCACCTTGGAGCCAGTTCAGTCCCATGGAGTCCTGTAGCTCAGTGGTTAGAGCACTCGCCTTGCAAGAGAGAGACCTGGGTTCAATTCTCAGCAGGGTGAAACATGGGCAAAATTTCTTACTCCACATGCCTGTGTTTACCTAGCAGTAAGTAGGAACCCGGTTGTTAGTTGATTGGCGAATCGCTTTTCTGGGGGTAATAATTCCTTAAAAAAAATATTGGTCACTCATTCCATGACTGTTTGTGGGTTACTGCTGTGCACAATTGGCTGCCGTGTTTCACCTTCAAAAATATAGTCAATTCACTCTACAGTATATTCTGTGAAGCACTTTGAGACATCTTGAAGACGTGATAAGGCGCTATATCAAAAGCAAGGATTATTATTATTATCTCTCTTCCTCAGTCTTACGGCATGAAACTGAAAGGTACTATATTAAATGTAAGGATTATTTATAAGCAATTCCAGAATTCTGAGTTGTCTTAAGTTGACCAAAAAAAAATCCCAAAGACTCATGAACCTGTTTACTTCATAAAAGCTGACTACATGACTCAAATGCATGAAGGCCAAGGACAATGGAAAACGAGTGAAAGCGTGTTTACAGACAAAGTTTCAGCATCATTGCTGATAAGGTTCTCTCCATGGGTAGATTGCTTGTGGTCAGCTACACAATGGACGTTAAATCTGTGATACTCAGACTTGTTTGAAACAAACTTGTAATTTTGATAAAGGCGAGGGGATGTTGACAACTATAGATATCAGTGATGGGAGGAAACTGTCTGTCTCAAAAGATGTTTTTAGTGGAACTGAATCTGGATGTCTTCACTACAACAACAACAAAATTACATTTGTACAGCGCCTTTCACGTTGGGAAGATGTCCCAAGGCACTGGACAGTCAGTGATTTGGACGCGAGCTAGGGGTTGGGATTGGGGAGGGTGGAGGGCAAGGGGGGAAGGAGGGTGATCAAAGGGTCGATGTGTACATTTTTAAAGAGAAGAAAGGAATTTGGGAATGGACTAGCTTCCCGTAACAAACATCATAAAGAAGACAAAGATTGAGACAACCATTTAGCTCATAAAATATAGTCAATTCACTTTACAGTATATTCTGTGAAGCGCTTTGAGACGTCTAGAAGATGTGAAAAGCACTACATTTAATGCAAGGATTATTATTATTATCGACGCTCACAAAGAAGCAATACCGGTTCCAGTCGAAATACTCAATGAAGGAGAAGAACTGAGTGGAAGAGCTGAGTTGTGGAAATGGAGCAGCTAACCTCAAAACCAATCTCGAGGAAAGAGGGATATTTTAGAATTAACGTGGATGGACGCGTCGATTCCTCCATCAAAGCTACTAATGATTCAAGCAACTCATGGCAGGAAGTTCACTAACTCATCGTAAGCATTAATTTGATTTGGTGAAACATATAACTGTGATATGCATTTCTTTACTAATCTTTTATTACATTTTACTACTTAAAAGGAAATTTGTGTCAGTTCAGGGTTGCGAATTTAAACGAACCCTACATTATTAATGTAAAACTGCAACCTTTCATTACTTTGGCTGTCTTGTGAAACTAGTTTTTTCACTGGAACAAAAAAAAACTCTGTGGTGTACGCTTGCTTTTCAGTTTGGAAAAAAAAAGGTTGCAAGGCTTTCTTTTGAGTTGTTTTAAAAAATAAACTTTGCAAGGCCTAACATTTTGGCGAGAATATTGTTAAACCGTGAAAGTTGGGCAGCTTTAAGCGCACCAGTGAAGGATCTGCACTGCCACTAGGGTTGCCAACAAGGGTGGCCAGAAATTAAAATACTGTACGTTTTTAGGCCAAATTCAACCAAATTCTAGCCCAAAAGTAGCCTAACATTATGTGTTGGTTCCTTTGGGAGTGACCAACTTAGGTTAGTGCATCTGAAACTCTGTAAGGTAAGGCTTCTCAAAGGGGAAACATCTCAAATTAAAAATCATCTTTATTTAAATAAAAGCTGGTTTTTCCCCCCCCAGCCCCAGAATTTGCAACGAGGTGAGTGAAACCCGCCCAAAACCCGCCCCAAACTGGGGGCCAAGTTGAGTGCCACGTGGGATGGGGCGGGGGGGGGGCGGGGCGAGAGTGTAGGCGTCAATCACCGGGTCGGGGGCCCCGCCCCCCGCGGCACGTCATATGCAGGTCGCGCAGGCGCGGACCGGCCTCTTTGATGGCGGTCGCTGGTGAGGGAAGGAGATCGCCGACCGACCGCTGACAGCCATCCGCCTCCATCCGCCTCCATCCGTGCCCTCCGCCGAGCCGCGCCGCCGCCATGACCGAGCAGATGACCCTCCGGGGCACCCTCAAGGGCCACAAGGGTTGGGTGACCCAGATCGCCACCACGCCGCAGTTTCCCGACATGATCTTGTCGGCGTCGCGAGGTACGGGAGGGAGGGAGGGCCCGGGGTGGGGGAGGTGTAGGCCGCACAGCCCGCTCTGCTGCTGGGACCCGAGGGAGGGAGAGGCCGCGGGGCGCTTGGCGGAGACTTGGCCCCGCTCGGGTCTCGAGGCCGGGCACACGGGCACACGGGCCCGGGAACGGGAGGGAGGGGGGGATGGGGGGGGTGTCCGCGTGGCGGCCCCGGGGTCACGGCGGGAGGGCGGACTCGACACGAGGCGGGGAGGCCGCCGCGCCCTTTTCACAGCAGCTCCCACTGGCTCACTCGCTGAATATTTAAAATCTCTTTTATTTATGTGTATATATATATATATATATATATTAGTACTTTCAAGAAGTCTCCACTAATATCGACCCTCTCCCTCTCCCCCTCTCCCCCCATTACATTTTCTCGGCGTATTCTTTGTCTTAATTGTCTCTTAAATGGCCCTCTCATTGACCGCTCTCAAAAGCCATCCAGGAAAATCTTTCCATGCTCTTGAATACCTCTGGAGGGGGGGGAAGTTCTTCTGAATCTTTCCCTTTTTCCGCCCCTTGTCGTAATCTTCAGTCCCCTGTCGGTAGGAAGAGTTTTGCACAATTCAGTTCAATCTTTCAAGCCTTCCATCTTGAGCGCCTCGATCGTGATCGCCTTCGAGCTCTGCTCCCAACGGAAATGGACCACACTGTTCTGGTGAATAGTTGGTTTAACGTCAAGGCCATTTACGTGTCCAGATCGTGGCTGAAATTCTCACCTCGTTGAATCAAGGTTGTGGGTTCAAACCCCACATTCGATCGAGCCGTGGAAGCACATAGTCTAAATTTTATTACTTATTCAAATCACTAAGTATCGAATGGTCTGGATAAGCAATGTTCTGGCATACTGAAATGGGGCTTCACAGGGAAGAATTGCAAGCGTGTGAATCTTGACCCACAACATGTGGCACAGATCTATATTTCAATTACATTTTCATCCTTTTCTATAAGTGCAAATAATGTGGAAAGGGGCTATAGTTCTTTGTAAGTAAAGTTTAAATCGAGTTTGAGGGCTGAGCCTCTGCTTACATGGCTTCCCTTATACATCAGGTTAATTACATTGTATTTTACAGACAAATCCATTATCATGTGGAAACTGACGAGGGATGAGACAAACTATGGTGTCGCCCAGCGTTCGCTGCATGGTCACTCTCATTTTGTCAGTGATGTGGTCATCTCTTCTGATGGGCAGTTTGCCCTGTCTGGGTCATGGGATGCCACCTTGAGGTTGTGGGATCTGTCACTGTAAGTAAGTTAGGGATATTTAACTTTTTAAAAAGTAGTTAGGTATATATATTATATATATACACACAGGCTGACTTCTGTATAACAACCTCTAGTTATTACAATCTCTCCAGTTATAGCGACTCTGACATTCAGATCCCTTTTTTCCTATTGTTTCTTACCCTAAAACAGCGATCGTTGAACCATATAACGATCTGCAATCAAGTCAGAATAGCAGGGTGTTCAGCAGTCAATCACATGGGTGTCCAGGGTTGGGCTGGGGGAAGATACAAGCACCGAACTCTTGAGAACACGGGACGGCTGCTAGCACAGCCCCTTCCCCTCACCCCATATACCTGCTCCTCTTCCCCTTCAGTAGATAACTGCTCATCATGTGTAACGTTCTATAGTGAACACCTGGAAGGAACGGCCTTTTTCCCATATCTTTGTTCGTTATACCCAGGTCGGCCTGTATAAACACACAGAGTGTAGTGAGGGTTTCTGGTAAACCTTGCCCCACCAAGTGTGAACATTTATTTTAAATCTTCCTGCTTGGTGACTCGATTTAAATTTAGATTTTTTTGTACGACCTTAAGATTCATTATATCCAAAGGCAATTAGTTAATGGTTTCTCCAGCTGACCCTATGAGTTCTAATATTTTTTTTCTGATAAAGGCCAGTGAATATCTCAATTTATTCAAGTAATGTTGCTAACTGCTTAGTATCCACCCTGAAATCTTATTTCCAGCAGCTCTGTAATGTCAGTTTTATTATTATTAATAATAATAATCCTTGCATTTGATATAGCGCTTTTCACGTCGGGAGGATGTCCCAAAGCGCTTCACAGAACACACTGTAAAGTGAATTGACTGTATATTTGTGGGCAAACGCGGCAGCCAATTGCACACAGCAATGTCCCACAAACGGTCGTAGATTGAAAATGACCAATCTATTATTGTTTTTGGTTTTGGAGGGATTATTATTAGGCTCTGTGTGGAGTAAGGAAACTTGCCCAAGGTTTCGCCCTCTGCCTGGAATTGAACTCAGGTCTCTCGCTTGCAAAGCGAGTGCTCTAACCACTGAGCTACAGGACTCCACTATTACTAAGGCAAGCTTTGGGGGATTCTAGTTCTTGTGAAAGCCACTATGCTTCTTTAAAAATGTAGATCATTGTATGGAAGTGTTGCCATGCTTGGCCATTATTGCTGCATTAGGTTCATGGGGTACTCTTGGGAGGGGGACATAGTTATAACTGACTCTGCTTTAGGGAGGTCACAAATTTCCCTCCTTGGTCCAAGGGCCCTGAATCCTGTTGTGCTCCACGGGCTGAGAATCAGGCCTGCAATCTTCTTGGTGGCTCAGTGCAGAACCCAGTTGCAGGTTCTCTTCTATCGAGCGTGCAGGCCCTTACTGAACTGCAGTGGTACTTGGGATAAAATGGCCCGTGTACTGTAATAATGGACACTTTGTGAAGAACTAGATATGGTAGAACCACATATGGTAGAAAGCAAAGCACTATGAGTTTGAGAATGGGATAGTGGTACGCGTATGAATTATTCTTATTGCGTAACATACTTTTGGTGCTATTAGACAAATTTTGCACTTGAGATTAGTGAAACAAATGTCATATCTATGGTAAAAATATTGATTAATATTCTATAATAAAAATGCTGATGGAAGAGTCTTTCTTTCCCAATTTTCTTTTCATAAACAGGGGTACCAGCACCCGTCGTTTTTATGGCCACGGCAAAGATGTTCTGAGTGTTGCCTTCTCTGCAGATAATCGTCAGATTGTTTCAGGCTCACGTGACAGGACCATCAAGCTATGGAACACTCTTGGGGTGTGCAAATATACCATTCAGGTATGTTCAAAACATCCCATGGTAGCATGTCAATTGTTTTTAACAAAGGGCTTTCTGCCTGTGAATTGACTTCTTATAGATTTATCTAGTCTTAAATTAACAGCAGTTAAACCCAAGCTCTCATGATCGTCTCATGATATATAGAAGTTTTCTATACATCCTGCAGGTTACACAATGATTAAAATTTGGTCACATTGTTTTGAGTTATCCTTTTTATAAAGGAGAAGACTACTTGTCCTGCAAATATGAGTGTTTCCTGCCTTCACATAGCAGCGTGTGATTTATCGAGTGGGAATTAAATTGTCTTTAAACTGATCTGTACTCTTCTTGTAATTAGGAAGAGGGCCACTCTGAGTGGGTATCTTGTGTTCGCTTTTCACCAAACAACAGCAACCCAATCATTGTTTCCTGTGGCTGGGACAAGATGGTGAAGGTAAGAATGCAGCACATACACTTGTTCTTGGCTCAACTTATTCTGTAGTGCGTTACCTAGCTTGTCCAGCGTGTCACTCCTTAGGCAGAGTGGATTAATTCCTTTCCTTTATTTTCTCTTCACAGCTGTGCCTTGAGATAACAAATCTCAGTTTTTTGCCTTTAAGAATGGTCTGGCCGCACACTTTTAAGCTGGATCGTCCTCATTTCTACAATTGTGCGGTGTTTCGCAGGCTTGAGAATATGGGAGTAAATGGGATTTTAGTTTAAAGGTGCGTGTTCTGGCCGTTCTTAAAGGTGAGTGCTTTGCTTGCCTTTTTCCCCCTCTTTCTGTTTAGTATTGACTCACTTAGATGTATTAAGCATGAGCCAGACTGCACATGTCCAATGATTAAAACTTTCATTGCTGTTCACATAATGATTTGCTGTGATTATTGACTTATACAAATGAGGACATATGGTCAAATATGAATCGTACCAATATGCTGTCTGACTTTGTGTTTGATACTTTTGTGATTTAAGCCATTGATCACTGATTCAATCGTGTTCACAATGTGTGTAAAGGTTAGCCTACATTTTTTTAAATGTGGGGATTTTGAAGATCATGCTATGTTAAACCTTTTTGTTGAACGTTATTGGTGGATATATCTGATTACACCGAACCCTCTCTGGGGGTGTGGAGAAAAGTCTGAGACACCCAAAGGATTGCTCTTTAAAAGAGCCAGCATAGTCAATGGGCTGAATGGCCACTTTCTGTGCTGTAAATTTCTATGCTTCTGTTTTTTATTGAAGATTTTTTCTATCCTTTAAATTGTCTGTAGGTTTGGAATCTTACAAACTGCAAGCTGAAGACCAATCACATTGGGCACGTTGGTTACCTCAATGCTGTGACTGTCTCCCCTGATGGATCTCTCTGCGCCTCAGGTGGGAAGGTATGTCCTGCTGCTGTGGCCTTGAGACCACTTTTCTCACTCGGATCTGATCTGTCAGCATATTCTGCCCTTTTATTCTGTTTACCAGCTAAATATGTAACATTTGGTAAGTTCTACAATGTTGTGAGGGTCCCAAGATTGTGGGAGGGTGTGTTGCAGAAGTAACAATCTCTGCGGGGCCGAAGAGGCTGTTTTATTGTTGCTTAGATCAATTATTGAAAAGCCTATGTAAGTGGATGGGGCCCATAGTGTGTCATGTTTTCTGAATTGAAAGTGACAACCTGACTACTTGGGTACTTTATAACCCCAGACCAGTAAAACATCGTTTTCAGGCCCTGTTTTAATATAACTACAACAATCTACATTTATGTAGCGTATTTCACATTGGGAGGATGTTTGGAGTCCTGTGGCTCAGTGGTTAGAGCACTCGCTTTGCAAGTGAGAGACCTGAGTTCAATTCCAGGCAGAGGGTGAAACCTCGGGCAAATTTCCTTACTCCACACTCCTAATAATCCCTCCAAAAAACAATAATAATAAATTGGTCATTTTCAATCCATGACTGTTTGTGGGACATTGCTGTGCACAATTGGCTGCCGCATTCGCCCACAAATATACAGTCAATTCACTTTACAGTATATTCTGTGAAGCGCTTTGGGATGTCTAGAAGACGTGAAAAGCGCTATATCAAATGCAAGGATTATTATTATGTTTCTAAGGGCTTTATACAGTTGACTAGAAGCCTGAGTTTGAGAAAGTGGAATCTTGTGTAGTGATTAACTTCTAACTTTGTATTTTCTATTTAGGATGGTCAGGCTATGCTGTGGGACCTGAATGAAGGAAAGCACTTGTACACTCTTGATGGTGGGGATGTCATCAATTCTCTGTGCTTCAGCCCCAACAGATACTGGCTGTGTGCTGCAACAGGTCCCAGCATCAAGATCTGGGTAAGAATTCCATGCATGCGGATATACATGGGTTGAGTTCTGAAAACACTTGTGCAAGTGAGCAGGGAGTTCACTGATCTTACTATGGAATATGTTAGCTGTGATGAAACTCCTTCATATGCCTTTTCTGAGATGTACATGCGGAAACTTCAGAGGCTGTTTCTGAGCTAATTGGAAATTCTGAAATGATTGGGGAGGGGGGCTGATGTACTTTTATTGCAGATTTTTACTCTGGTTATATGCAATTGCTGCACAAGTAAAATTGCCTTGCTTAATGTGAAAGTGGTATCTTCAGGAAGCGAGTGGCAATAGGGTCCTTAAATTGTCGTGCTGAAACCACTGCCAGGCTTGTAAAAGTAAATCCCCTGTGGATCTGATTAAATACCTAATTAACCTTCAAGCGGCATTCCAATTTATAGTTATTTTTCTTGGTAACTGATCATAATTAAGTTTTAATTATATCAAAAATGTTTGTTCATATTCTAAAATTCAGCATAATCCAGCATTGCTTCTGCTGTTCTCGGTTTCCTATCTTTTAATCTTTTAGTTGTATATCTGTTATATCGTATTGAGTATCGTACAGATTTGTAGTTTGGAACTGTTATATCCCATTACAAATTCTGTAGGCCTCCTCCCTAAAGCTGACTTATCTTTGCCTACACCCTTGACTCCAGGACCACTGCTGTTCTGACAGAATGTCTGTCAGACATCAAGTCCTGGATGAGAGTTAACTTTCTTCAGTTGAACGTCAACAAGACCGAGGCTCTGCTGATTGGCTCCTGCCAGCGCCTCCTCACCTCAGGCGCTGACGGCATCACCATCTGGATGCAGATTCCACCTTACTAAGCCAGTCCAGAAACTTGGCCCTCAACTGTCCTTTTTACCCCACATCTGTGCATTGACCTGCTCTACCTTCCCCCACCTCCACCGCTATCTCACACCGCAGGCAGCTGAAACCCTCATACACCCTTTCATTACATCAAGGCTTGACTATGCAAACTCCTTGCTTGTTGAAAGGCTCTATACAAATGTAATTTTATTGTTGTTATCACCATTTGAATTTTTGCTGTGAAGTGTGGAATTAACCTGACCAGCTTCAGAAGAAATGTCTTAAAGTTACTTGTTGTAGTCAGGCTTTTGACCCTGTACAGACCCTGTACTTGTACAGAATCTTTAGTGAGACAAGCTGTGGCTGATGTTTTTTTTTCCCAAATACAGTCGAGGCCTGTCGGCCTTCAATAATGGTTATGATAGAAACGTACAGTTGTGGTGCAAGTTGTCCTGTTTGATATGTATGGGGGAATATATAAATTGAACTAGTACTAAGCCAGTGGTAACTAAGTCAAATTTATGTTTTTCTTCAAAGGATTTAGAGGGAAAGATCATAGTTGATGAACTGCGTCAGGAAGTCATCAGTACTAGCGGCAAGGCACAGCCACCTCATTGCACGGCGCTAGCTTGGTCTGCTGATGGTCAGGTGAGTCAAATAACATTTGTTTTAGATTGTTTAGTGTTTGAAGTTAATGTGTTCTTGTGAGTACTTGGTAGCATTCAATAGTCCAGATGTTCATGACTGTCCCAATGATTATTTTGAGTCACTTAACTACCCATCTGACCCTATTTGGGGCAGGATTACAAACAAAAGAATGAGGGTACAGTCGATACATGGCATACAACTGTATAATATTTTACAGTTTTGTCTGAGGTACTTCCAAATTTATTTTTCCAGTAATTTATTCATTGAATAACTGAACGTCACAAAACTGAATGAAACATTCAAACATCATCGGAGGAGATAATGGGAATAAAATAGCAATGGGAATAAGAGATCTTAACGTGTATTTATTAGGTGACAGAAATGGTCAGCAAACAAATCTGAAATGTCTGGTAAACTCATAGTTCACACATCCTATTATCAAATGTGAATGAAATTAAAGTGTAACTTTGTTTTTGAGGGGAATATACTGGTAGGCTTTAGCATTGCACTTTCTTTATAAAGTTTTTATGAGGCTAATGCCAAATTCTTTTTTTTTCTCCAGACTCTGTTTGCAGGATACACTGATAATCTGATTCGTATCTGGCAAGTGACTATCGGAACCAAATCCTGCGGATAAAGTGAAAAATGTTATACTAGAGAACTGTTGGAAATCTCACAATTTGGGACTTCCTGAAAGCAAACAAATAAACTTACAAATAAAAGATTGGTTAGATTTAATTCTATGACTCTTTATTGGGGAGGAAATTCTTATCAGTGTTTCTTTTTGATGCATTACATTCATCTGGACTCTTGTAGCTCAGTGGTTAGAGCACTCGCCTCAAGCGAGATACCTGGGTTTGATTCCTGGCTGGATGAAAAGTTTGGCAAATTTCCTTACTCCACATGCCTCTGTTTACCTAGCAGTAAGTAGGAACCCAGTTATCAGTTAATTGGAGGATTGCGTTTTCGGGGGTAATAATCCCTTCCAAAAAATAATTTGGTCACTGTGGGACTCTTGTGTGCAATTGACTGCCGCATTTTGTCCACAAAATATACATTCGGGGGGGAAGCACGGTCGAAGAGAAGGGTCTTGGGACGGGGCTTGAAGGTGACGAGTGGCAGAAGGCCTGCCCGCCAATAGTGGGGTGGGCAAGGCAGGGGACATGAAGCAGGCCGGAGTCCGCTGAGTGGGGGGAGCGAATAGGATGGTAGTGGTTTAGGAGGTCGGAGAGGTAGCGGGGAGGAAGACCATGGAGGGCTTTGAAGGCGAGGACCAGGATCTTGAATTCTATCCTCTTGTGTGATGGGAAGCCAGTGGATTCAGGCAAGGATGGGAGTGATAGAGTCGCGGAGCCTGGTGCGGGAGAGGACACGGGCTGCAGAGTTCTGGATGATCTGCAGCCTATGGAGGGAGGAGTTGGGGAGGCCGACAAAGCAGTGAGTTTGCATAGTCGAATCTTGGATGTAATGAAAGCTTGTGTGAGGGTTTTGGTGGCCTGTGGTGTGAGACAGTGTCGGAGCCGGGTGACGCTGCGGAGGTGGGGGAAGGCAGAGCGGGTATTGGCGCAGATGTTTGGTAGAAAGGATTGTTGAGGGTCAAACAAGATTCAAGGTTCCAGACTTCCTTAGTAAGGTGGAGTGTGAAACCATGGATGGTGATGCTGTCAGTGCCTGAGGTGAGGAGGCACTGAGGGGAGCTTCGGTCTTGTTGACGTTCAACTGAAGAAAGTTAGCTCTCATCCAGGACTCGATGTCTGACAGACATATTGTTCAGGACAGCAGTGGTCCTGGAGTCAAGGGTGTAGGCAGAGAGGTACAGTTGAGTGTCATCCGAATACATGTGGAAGTTGACCGCATATTTGCGATTGTTGTCACCAAGAGGGAGCATATAGATATTGAAGAGGAGGGGACCAAGGACAGAGCCCTGAGGAACGCCACACAAGATCGTGCGGGGGCTAAAGGAAAAGGAGAAACTGTTTATGGAAGTGAAGGCAGTGTGAGAGGTACGATCTGAACCAATCGAGCACAGCGCCGTTGAGGTGAGAGGACACGCAGCGGATGAGGATACAGTGGTCAAAGGTGTTGAAAGCAACAGAGAGGTCAAGGAGGCAGAGGGAGCCCTGGTCACAGATGGACAGAATGTCATTTGTCACTTTGACCAGGGCTGTTTCTGTGCTGTGGGCGGCACAGAAAACCAATTGGAGGGGTTCAAGAAGAGAGTGGTGGGAGAGGAAGGAGCGAAGCTGAGAAGCAACAACTCATTCCAGCACTTTGGAGAGGAAAGGGAGGTTGGAGATGGGGCGGTGGTTAGGGAGTAGAGATGGATGCAGGGAGGGTTTTTAAGGAAAGGAGTGATGACGGCGGTTTTTAATGGGGTGGGAACAGTACCAGTACTTGCTCAAGGGAGCAAGTGGTAGATTTCATACGGGTTATGGTGGTGATGAGAGAGGAGGGGGAGACAGGTTCAAAGTGTAGAGGGAGGGATAGGTAGAGGTTGGGGTGGGACAAGGAGATGGGGAGGGGATAGCAGAGGCAGCTGAGCGGATTCCCTAAAATTTGGATTTGAGGGAGTCCTTCATTGTCTCGTAGTTGGCATTTGAGATGAGGATGGGCGAGGCGTGAGAGGGTGGGCGGAGGAGCCGGTTGGTGATGGAGACGTGGAGCGTGGGGTTGTCCTTAGCCTCCAAGATTGTCTTGGAGTAGAACAACAATTTAGTGCAGGTGAGGACGGAGCGGTAAGATTTGATATGGTCCAGACAGATCTGCCGATGGTCAGTTAGGTTTGATTTAAACCAGGAGCACTCAGCGGCACACACCTGAGCTTTAAGGGAGTGGAGGTGGCTGGTGTACCATGGTGATTTATGTGAATAGGAGACGGTTTGAGAGTGGAGGAGAGGGAGCTGTGGAGAAGAGTGTCCGAGGAGGGTTAGGTCATTGTGGGAGGAAGCCCAGAAGGCAAGGAGTTCAATGATTCCCAAGTAGGCGAAAAGGAGAGGGAGATTTTTTTTTCCAGAGGCGGTAGGAGATGGAGGTGGGTTGGGTGGCGGTGGGGGGAGGGATTGAGGAGTTAAGTGAGATGAAGTGATGGTCCTAGATCACTTTGTTGATAATGTTGAGGTCTATGACAGTGAGGCCCCGAGTGATCACCAGGTCGAGGGAGTGATGGCGGACGTAGGTGGCAGAGTAGATGTGGAGGGAGAGATTGAGGAAGGAGATAAGGGAGGAAAAATCATCAGAGGTAGAGCAGGAGGGGGTGAAGTGAAGGTTGAAATCATTAAGGATGAGGAGGCATTCAGAGCAGAAAGAGAGGTAAGATATATAGGTGGAGATGAAATTCGGGGATGAAGGTGGGCAGCCAATTGTGCACAGCAATGTCCATGAACAGTGGTGGATTGAAGTGACCAATTATTATTTTTCTTGAGGGAATTATTATCCGTGAAAAAGTGATCTGCCAATTGACTAATAACCAGGTTCCTGATTACTTCTCGGGAAACAGGCGTGTGGAGTAACGTTTTGCCATGCCTGGGAATCGAACCCAGGTCTTTCGCTTGCGAGGCAAGTGCTCTAACCACTGAGCTGCATGACTCCTCCATAATAACATGTTACCATATGTTAACAACAACAACTTGCATTTATACAGAGTCCCTCTCACAGGATCTTGTTTCAGTGTTAGAAGGTCATCGGAACTGAAACTGGGGAAGAAGAGCCCCTAAATGTAGGATAGAAGGTGGGAAATAGGACAAGGTGAAAAAGAAAACAACATACGCAAAGAGGCAACTGCTAAACAATGTGCTCTTGCACTGCATTATTCACACAGTAACATTTCTCAAAGCTCTTTTACAGATGAGATGAGAATGAGTGGGCTAGGAAGAAGATAACTAAGGCACAGTCAAAGAGGAAGGGTTTTGAAAGTGGAGAGTAGATGCACGACCAGGCACAAGGATTTAGGAAGAGAGTTCCAAAGAGCAGGGTGGATGAGGGCTTGTTCACAGATGGGGTTATGAAGCAGGTCACAGTTGGCAGAGAGAATGGAATAGGCTGTAGCCATAAAACAATAGTTTATCTGCACTGTGGAATCCCCAAAAATAATAATACTAATGAATCCTCGCATTTGATATAGCATCTTATCACATCATTGAGCTGTCTCAGAGGATTTACTATAAAATGTAGTGACTGTATTTGTAGGTCAATGCAACAGCCAATTTGCAAACATCAATGTCCAACAAACTGCCATGAAGTGAATGACCAATTTTATCAGGGCGAGTGTGCCTGGACACCAGGAGAAACTCCCTTTTATTTTCATAATAGTGCCATGGATTCTTTAATGTCTACCTGAACAGGGCAAGCAGGACCTTGATTTAATACAATCAAAATGACATTTGTAAAGCGCCTTTCACATTGGGAAGACGTTCCAAGGCACGGGACAGTCAGGAATTTGGACCCGAGCAGGGGGTTGGGATCAGGGAGGGTGGAGGGCAGGGTGGGTAGGAGGGTGGCTGAAGGCGGGGTCGAAGAGGATGGTCTCATGGCTTGAAGGAGGTAAGGGAGGGAGCAAGGCAAAGGGACTGTGGGATGGAGTTCCAAACCCACAGCCACCCTAGCCTGGCTCCACTGGCTCCTCATCCCTCAGAGAATCGAGTTCAAAATCCTCATCCTCACCTTCAAGGACCTCCACCACCTTGTCCCCTCTTGCCTTATCAACCTGTTATGAACCTGTCCGCTCCCTCTGCTCAGCCTGCTCCATGTCCCCAGCCGCGCCTGTCCAACCATCCGCAGTTGGGCCTTCAGCTTCTCTGCCCCCACCCTCAGGAACTCCATCTCACAACCCCTTCGCTCCCTCCCTTGCCTCCTTCAAGGCATTCAAGACTCTTTGACCGTGCCCTCGGCCACCCTCCTACCCTCCACTCTCCCCGATTTCAAACACCTTCCCGCCCCCCCCACCACCACTCGGGTCCTAATCCCTGACTGTTCAGCCCCTTGGGATGTCCTCCCGATGTGAAAGGCGCTTTACAGATGTAATTTTGTATTGTATATGTCTATAGGAATCCCGTAGTGCAGTGGTTAACGCGCTCACATCGCAAGTGAGAAAACCCAGATCAGATTCCCAGGCGGGGAGGAACCTTAGGCGAGTTTCCCTACTCCGCTCCGCGCGCCTCGGTTTACTTAGCAGTAACTAGGAACTAGTTACTAGTAACAAGGAACCCGGTTGTTCGTCGATTGTTGGGGGGTAATAATTCCTCCAAATAAATGCGGTTCCTCAGCCCGTGGCTGTTTGCGGGACACCGCTGTGCGCAATCGACTGCGCGTTTTATTGCGTCGCGGCCACAAAATACGGAGTCTCAACCACTTTACAATCTCTTCTGTGAAGCGCTTTGAGACGCCTCTCAACAGTTTGAATCGCTACAGCAAATGCAAATGCACCAAATGCCAGAATTACTACGGCATTGTCTCCACATACATCAGAGTACATATCTACATATATATATATATGTGTGTGTGTACATAGCTCTCTCTCCGAGTCTCTCTCTCTCTCTCTCTGACGACTCTCGGAAGCGGAAGTTGCCGGTGTCCAATCTGCAGCAGTTGCCACGTTGGTGGAGACGTGGACTCGGGACCCGCAGAGCGGCCGCGACAGCAGCTCAGACACTCCGGGGAGAGGAGGAGGTGAGGCCGGGGGTGGGGGCCCGGGGGGGGGAGGCCGGGGGTGGGGGGGGTCCGGGGGGCCCGGGGGGGGGGCGGGGGGTGGGGGGGGGGGGAGGGACCTTTGCTCCAGGCGGCGTCGGTGTAAGTTGCCCTCACAGCCCGAGCCCGGGGTGGGGGGCCCGGGGTGGGGGGGGGGAGCCCGGGGTGGGGGAGGGGGGGTCGGGGGGGCCCGGGGCCGGGGGGGGGGAGCCCGGGTGGGGGAGGGGGGGGTCGGGGTGACGCGGATGCGGCGCTGGTGAGAGGCCCGTGTGAGGGGAGGAGAGGCCGCGGTTGTGGCTCAGGCCCTGTGCTGGCCTGGGCTGTGCTGCCCTGGGCTGTGCTGCCTGGCCTGCCCTGTGCTGGCCTGGGCTGACCTGGGCTGTGCTGGGCTTGCCTGGGCTTGGCTGGCCTGGGCTGGGCTGGCCTGGCCTGGGCTGTGCTGGCCTGGCCTGTGCTGGGCTGGGCTGGGCTGCGCTGGCCTGGGCTGTGCTGGCCTGGCCTGGGCTGGCCTGGCCTGGCCTGGGCTGGGCTGGGCTGTGCTGGCCTGGGCTGTGCTGGGCTGGCCTGGGCTGGCCTGGCCTGGGCTGTGCTGGCCTGGCCTGGGCTGTGCTGGGCTGGGCTGTGCTGATCTGGGCTGTGCTGGCCTGGACTGTGCTGGCCTGGGCTGTGCTGGCCTGGACTGTGCTGGCCTGGACTGTGCTGGCCTGGGCTGTGCTGGCCTGGGCTGGCCTGGCCTGGGCTGTGCTGGCCTGGCCTGGGCTGTGCTGGGCTGGGCTGTGCTGGCCTGGGCTGGGCTGGGCTGTGCTGACCTGGGCTGTGCTGTGCTGTGTTTAATGTGTGTCTCACCTGTAGGTTGTATGTGGATCTTTGCTCCTCGCTGTCCTGTTTATCTCTTGGCTGAGGTGACCTGAGGCTTGTCTGTTGTTTTTGTGATGTCCTGTATTTCAGGTATGAAAGGCTGATGACAGTCCTGAGTGTTGGGCAGTGTCTATTCCATGTAAAATCTTCTGCTTCTGCTTTTTTTTTTTGAAAAACCACATTGCTTCAGCAGAAAAATCAAACACCAAGAAAAAGGTAGTTTTTGTTTATCCTCCATTAAGATGCAAGTGACTGAGGTTCCACCGGCAGCTCTGAAGCCTACTTGTTAAAGCCTGTGGTGGACACTCAGAAAAGCAATAATAATAAGCCTTGTATTTGATGTAGCACCTCATCGCTTTCGAAGGACATCTCAAAGCGCTTCACAGACGTTATCACTGTGAGATGGAGTGACTGTGTATTTGTAGGTAAACGCAGCAGCAGAGTTGCACAGAGCAATGCTCCGACAAAACAGCTGTGAAACAAATGATCAGTTTTATTTGAGGTACTTGGTGTTCCAGGACGAGGAAGGTAGGAGAAACTCCCTTCTCTTTTCGAACAGTGCCACGGGATCTTTAATATCCACCTGAACAGGCATTTATATATATATATATATGTAAAAAATCAAAGCTCCCTTGATGGCCCTGCAGGAAAAACAATCCTGCTTGCAGTAACCGTAGAAATGTTGTAAGGTCCCAGGTTCTGTCCCTTTAGTTGATCGCAGTTGGAGTGATAAGTTTGGCCTCAACACACCTTGGGATTGGGAGGGAACAGTCAACCAGGGCTCACTGCTGATCATCATCTTGCTGCAAATTGCACAGAGTGAGAGGGGCTGAATTGTAATCCTTCCCTCCCCCCCATTGAACGAACAGTTGATACTCGCTGTCTTGGTCCACGCATGAAGATTTCTGCTTAGAGGGAAGGTCTGGAGGGCAAGTGGCGTTCAGGAGCGGAGAATAGGAAGAAAATAAAAAAAGTATAGTTTCATTCGTGGTGAATATGTGAAATTGACTTCATGGCTGTTTCTGTGTCATTACTATGTACAAATTCAGCTATCGTTGACCTGCAAATAGTCACTTCACTTCACAGAATTACTTGCGAAGCACTTTGAGATGTTTTGATATTATTGGCACTATATCAAATGCAAGGCTTGTTACTTTGTGCTATATTCACTTCAGTGAAGAGGAACATCCCGTCGAACATTTAGATTTTGTCCACCTGAAGCTTTTCGAGGTGTGTAGTGCTATGGTGAAGCAAGTGACTGGAGCCTCAGTGACTGGAGGTCTGTGACTGAATGGTGGCAGTGATTTGAGGAGATGAATTAAGGGTTTCTTTTGAAGAGTATAGTCTTCTGCCATTATGAACTGATGAATTTCAGACATGTTGGGGTTTTGTGACACCTCTTGAGGTGCATTGCTACTAATACGTCAGCTAAAATACAGTAAACCTCACAAGTCGTATCAGTTGGGACCATACATTTAATATGACTCAGGCAAAGTATAAATTATTTCAAACTTGCATAGAATATAAATTCTTGAACAGAACTTGGGCAGATGTATGATTTATACAGATCAGGCTTATGCGATCTGTATAAATCGGTATAAATTTTGCGGTGGTTGTTGTAGCGCTTTGGGACGTCCTCTCGACGTGAAAGGCGCTCTATAACTGTAATTTTGTTGTTGTAGTGGGAACACTTGATGTTGTTTGTATTTCCGACCCTTTCATCATAGAAATGTTATATCCCATTCTGTGGCTGTGATAAGATACATGTATCGCTCCTCTGTTGATTAAAGGTTGGAAAACTATATATTCCTAACAGCAATGCTAAATATTAAACCATTTGGTAACCAGATGTGTTTCAGACCCAACTGTGGGAAACTGCGCTTCCACGCAAACTGTAGGTCGGGGTGAACACATCCAGTTCTGTTAGGATTCAGTATTTTTGAATGCTTTGCAAACCGTGTTATAAATACTGTGTTTTCATGTATAGGAAGTGTATTCTGATGCTATTCATGCTGTGCAGTGGGAGAATTACATGAAATTGAGCCACTCGGACCCAACTAGTCTGCTGCTCATAAACCCTTACCCCTCCCCTCTCTCTATACCTGTTGATTCCCTCCTACCTCATGTACACGTGTGATAATGCCACATTTTTTGTGAGGAGGGAGAGGAAGGGGAAGATGTGTTGGTGCCACTGGGAGTGGGGGGGGGGGGGGGGGTTGGCGCGGAGAAAAAGAAATGAGTTTAGTGGGGGAAGGAATGCGACAATACAGTGGGGGAAGAGATGTACTGTTGGGGTGAGAGGTGATAGATGTGACAGTAATGTTGGGGGATGGCATGTGTTGCATGGTGGGTGCAGATGTGAGGATGTGGCAGTGGGGAGGGGGGAAAATATGATGATATTGTGAGAATGACAGTTACGAAAAGCCACACACGGAGTGTGTTTTGCAATGGTTGTTTTGGGGGGGTTATTCACAGTTTCCACGATGGCCTTGCAAGGTGTGATGAAATCTCTTTCCTCTCTCAGGGTGTACTATTCTCTCTCTCTCTCTCATAGTGGGTAATGTATTCTCCCTCTCTCTGGGTGACATTCTCTGTCTCTTTCTGTCTCCGAGTGGGTGATATTGTCTCTTTCTGAGGGTGATATTCTCTCTGAGAAGGTGGCATTCTTGTTCTCTCTTTCTCTCTCTTTCTGTGAGTTGGGACATGTTACTCTCTCTTTCTGAGTCGGTTTTCTTCTCCGTTAACTTGACGAATGCTATGGCCTATGACAGCTTCCACACTTTTCATTTTGCCTGCAAACAAACTGTATGAAAGTTAGTGGCTGACACAAGTCTCACACTTCTGAATTGTCTCTCTTGCAGGAGCCTCACTTGCATGAGCTACTAAAGATAGGAGTTAAGCTAGACTTTGCCAACAGCCAGGGGTGGTGGTTCTCTTACTCATCTCTGTTGTGAGTTCTTGATTAGGAGTTGACCAACTGTGCTGACGGATTTCAGGACGGATGTGATAACTACATTCCATAAAATAGTGTAGCGATTGGAAGTGCTGAATTTTCCAAAATAATGTAAAATACTTCTTGTTGCAGTAAAATTGGGGTGACAGCAGAAGCCAAGCTTCCTGACAGTGTTTGCTACCTTGGGATAGTTTGTTGAGTTTCACTTGGTCATTCCCAACTTGTATTTCCTTCTTATCCAAATTCCCTGGAAAAATTCCAATTAATTGCCCACACATCTCGTTGTTTGTAAGTCGTTGCTGGTGCAAATTCGCTACTGTATTTGCCTTCATAACATTCACTTAATTTCTATTAAATTTCTTCCTGTAAAGTTATTTTACGTGAGAGGCACTATGTAAATAGACATGGCTGCAGTAGAATGGGAAATGTAAAACATTAATGATCGATTTGATAAGGTAAACATGATTACTTGGATTTCCAGATGTTATATTGCAGTAAAAACTACTTCATGATGGGTGATTGTTTCTAAGAGGGCAGTGAAGGTAAGGGGGGAAAAAGGTGAAACTTAGAAAGTACTCCTGCCCAAAATGTATCCTCGTTCTTATACAGAATAAGGAATTATACAGTATTTCTACGGGGTAAGGAACCCAGAATTGGAGGCAGAGACGCTCCAGGCTGTGTGCTCATACTAAGAAACCAATTTGAGAACAATACTGTCAGAAGTCTGGGAACTCCTTGTGGATCTCTTGTCTCCGTATTATAAAATGAGGAACTATGTAAGGAGACACTCCCTGTCCTAAGTCTGTTTTTCCTTTTGAGGCAGGACACGCCTTACTCTGCAGTGGCTGATTGCGTTTACCTGTCAGAATGTATTTATCAGACTTGTCTCCTGTCATTTGAAGAAACTGCTTGGGGTGTTTTTCTTGCTGATTGTTATTTGGCTCATTTGATGAATCAGCCCATTTTCTTTCTGAATCTAAATTCTGCCGTAAGGGTTTTTATCTCTTGCTGCTTTTATTTGGCCAATTTTCAACCTTTCTCCTTTGCTTTCCACATGTAATTTGTTGTTGTTGAAAAGTCTAACTCTTGCTTGGGTGAAATTTTACAGTACCTTGTGGTACTTGTGCAAGTGCCCATATCTCTTGCCCAAGTCAAGATTGTGAGCAGATCG